CGACAGAATCCAGCGAGAATGCCGGAGCGAAACTCACCCCCGCGGTCGGAGTGAAGACAGCTGACACGACGACCACGAGTGTCCGCGGTGGTGAGCAACCACCTGATCAGCGTAGAAGTCACCTCAGACTTCTTCGCCAGGGGGAACACCGTGGTGTAGCGGGAGTAGTCGTCAACGACCACCAGAAAGAAACGCTCACGCTCAGGGCCAAGGCGAGAGGCGGGGCCCCAGACGTCCAGGTGAAGCGTCTCAAACGGCTCGGTGGCCGGACGAAGGGAGGAGGAGTGAGGGGTGGCGCACAGCCGACCCTCGACGCAAGGACCGCACGGTGGTGCAAGGGACGGCGGCAGCGACGGCAAGACACGCGGGAGACCTAAGACCAGACGCTGACTAGACATAGCGCGCAGACGTGGAAGAGAAGGGTGTCCCATCCGGTGGTGCCACAGAACGGTGGGGTGGGCAAGCGACCGACAGGAGCAAGACGCAGCGACTGGACTGGACGCGACTACCTGAGGGGACGTAACCACCTGGTGAGACGCAGGGAGGAGACTAGGGGGAGGGACAGGAACTGGGAGTAGGGGCTGCTGCGACGGCGGCTGCTGCGGCTGCTGCTGCTGCTGCTGCGGCTGCGGCGGCGGCTGCGGCTGCTGCTGCTGCTGCTGCTGCTGCTGCGACTGCTGCGCACGCGGGCCAGTGTGAAGAGTGTAGAGACCGGAGCCCGGCTCAGCAGTAAAGGTGGCCAGAGGCTGGTAAGAGTCCCCGTCAACACACACCGCAGTCTCCCCAGAAGGCTCAAACCACACACCCACGTGCTGACTCACGAGGGGTCGCACGCCCACCAAGTTCCGGGAGAACGAGGGGACATGAAACCCAGTGAGAGACCCGGAGGGAGCAGCAGGACACGGCAAAGTGGTAGTGTGACGCGCAGTGACTGGTCCCGAGGTGGGATCAGCCAGCGCCACAGAGACAGGCGCAGGAAGTGGCGTAAGTGTCGTGCTGTCACGAAAGAAGCAGTGCGAGGCTCCAGAGTCCAGCGTGAAAGACAGTGAAGCGTCCTCCGAGGTAGCCGCTGGACTAGTGTCTACACAAGAACCTACACTAGCAACAGGCAACTGAGCAAGGCTAGCACCTAAGCTAACAACACCAGAGTAAACAGAGTCAGAAACACTAGAGTCAACAACAGCATACATAGCATGAGGAGTTCCAATCAGATCAGCTAACTGCTCGGCAGACATGTCCCACAGAGCGGAACCGTAACGCTGAACAAGGGGAAACCAGTCAGGGGCAGGACCGCCAACCCCGTAAACCAAACGAACCGTGTCAGTGAGCTGAGCAAAACACTGACCAGGGGGGTGAAGGCGGCCACAAGGGTGGCCCCGGCGAGCACCTGTCAGAACCTGATAGGTGCAGGGAGGGTAAACAACACCACGCTGCGGCTGACGCGGCCCCGACCCCGAAGCCAGCTGCGGCCGCTGCTGCTGCGGAGGCTGCTGGGAGGAGAGGGGCTGCTGCTGCTGCTGCTGCTGAAGCTGCTGCTGACGCTGGGCCCGGTACCACGCCGCTGCTCCACCCACCGGGGCTGGCAGTACAGGGGGCGACTGACGAACGCGGGCGTCGCCACCACCAGCAGTCGCAGTGGAGTCACCGGTCGCTGCACGAGACGTCTCTCCAGGCCCTGCACTCCCACCACCGCCAGTCGCAACGCCACCCCCACTACCTCCGCCTCCACCAACGCCGCCGCCAGCACCGCCCCTCTTGCCACCCCTACCGCGGGACCGCGACGAAGTCGTAACAGCAGCTGCGGTCGCGTCAGTAGCGGCAGTGGCGAGAGAGGCAGTAAAGGTGGGCAACTGCGGGACTGTGCACCCGTGGAAGAGTGGGGGGGGCACAGCACCAGAGGCAGCGGCTACGGAGCGGAGGTTGCTCTCGATGTCCTTGAGCGCAGACTCAAGGACCTCAATAGTGAGCTCACTAGGGTGCTTCAGGAGAAGCGCGTCACGAACGGAGGCAAGGCGGTCAGGGAGGCTAGTGGCGATGAAATAGATAGTAATCGCCATGGGAGGAGGAAGCAGTGCAAGCTGTGCCTCAGTGCAAGCAGCGCGGTAACTAGAGTCGAGCGAGCGGAGGTGAGCAATCAAGTCAGCAGAGCGCTCAAATGAGGCGAGATCAGGGAACAGGAACGGGAGGAAAAGGCGGCCAAGAGAGACAGTGGCAGGAGTGGAGTAGCGGGCCTTAATCGCAGTCAGGTACTCAGCAGCAGTGCGAACCTGAGTAAAGTGGACCTCCTCAGACTCAGGGAGGAGGGTGCTGAGCGCGATGCAGGCCGCAGCGTCACGCGACGTCCAAGCTGTCAGGTCAGCGCGCTGGCTAGCAAAGCGAGCTCTAGCGGCGTCGTCAGGGGCAGGGCCTAAAGGCGTAGGGTCGGGGGGCGCAGGGAGGGCGCCAGTTGCGTGCGCCCAGAGGGTCTCGCCTGACTGGACCTGACTCTCTAACTGACGGCGAGCGCGCAGAAGCCAGAGTCAAAAGTCAAGGGGTCTACCGTCAGCGTCGAAACGAAGAACACGCGGAGTCGCCATAGTGAAAACTGACGGGAAAGCGGAGGCCGGAAACCCTAAACGAGGTGGCGTGGCGAAACTCGGTGGAGTGGCGGCCAGCGCGGCACGCAAGCACGCAGGGAGAAAGGGAGGCACGGGCGCAGCGGGCGAGAGGGCAAAGGGACGCGCGGGCGGGCGGAGAGGCCTAGCGCTACGCAACGGGAGGGCGATAAGGGTAGCCGCGCGGGGGGCTAAGGGCAGCCGCGCGGGCGCGGGGGCGGGCGTTAAGGCAGCCGCGCGCGACGCGCGCGGAGGCGCTCAGCTGCGGCGGGCGCAGGCTGCGGGCGAAGGGAGTGGGCGAGGCAGCGACGTGTACGGGGGCGGGCAGCGGCGGCGGGCATCGCGGCGACGGGCGCAGGCTGCGGGCGCGACGGCGGGCGACGAGAGAAAGCGCCGCGGCGGAGCGCTTAGGGGGGGGGGGACGGGCGACGGGACAGGCGGGGAGAGCGCGACGCGACGGGGGGCAGGGGAAGGCGCGATTCGACGGGCAGAAGGGGGGGGAAACGCGACTCGACGGGCAGCGGGGGGAAAAACGCGACTCGACGGGCAGCGGGGGGAAAAACGCGACTCGACGGGCAGCGGGGGGGGGGGGGAGGGGGGGAACGCGACGGGCAGCAGGGGGGAGGGAGGTCGCTACGCTACGTGAGTAGGGGATCGGCGGAACGGGCGGTAACGAAGGAACGGGACGAGAGCGGGCCGGCGCTAGGCTCGGGCAAGACGTGCGCAACTAGTACGAAAGAGGGAGACAGGCTCGGGCGATACGAACGAGGTCGGGAGGAGCGGGATCCCACAGGATCCTAACCTAGGTGATACCATGTCAAAATCACAAGTGTGTGTTTCACTGATGGTGGTTGGGGTACAAGTAGCAAACCCTAACATACGTACCCCCTAAGACAAACCTCACTACAGGCTACCAACACTTGACATAGAGCACCAGCAGCAGCGCAAATCGAATGTTGGTAGTTCCTGGAGAAGGGTGTGACAAATGGTAGCGTCGGATAGGTAACTCTCATGGCTGTGTCATATCACATCGCATGTATGGAGGATCTTGCTTGAAACTGTGATGAAGTTCCAGCTTGTTAAGATAACCTCTTCAGCAAGTACGCCTATATTACCTGTTTTGTTTAGAAGGCTTCATCAATATCTAAGAATGCTGTGTTATTCTTAGAACCCTTCGTAATTTCAGGCGGGTCCAAATATGCACAAAACCCAACCCAACCATATGTTGTTTTAATTAGACCGCTCTATTAGAGTCTAACTAAACCCTTTTCAACCGCATTCGGACGTACACTTTGGACCCGCCCGTAGCAGCTTCATGTTGTTTATATTACTTCGGTATGTTTATTTGTCATTTCGAACAGAATATTAGACTGCATTATTGTGTCCCTAACCAAATGTCACGTTTGGAAGCCTGTCAGGCACGGAAACGCGCGAGATCATCTTGGTTGAAGCACGTAACAGTAGAAGGGTTCCTTGACGTCCGCACGAAATTGTTGGTCGCACACCGGCAGATTGCACGACCTTCAAGCCGTCAAACTCACCCTTCTGCCGTTGCGTGCCAGCTAGTCGTTGAATAATGGGGCGCGCTTGAGGTGACAATCACGTATGCATGCCGACAAGCGACAATTGATGAAAAGTTTCAGTCGTCGTGACGTACTTCCCAGCGTCGTGCGAAAGAGTGGTGTGTTCCGCCCACGAATTGCTGGCGCTCAAAACCGAACCGCGTTGGCAGGAACGACCCAAAACAACCAAAACCCAAGCCTGCCTCACTCCCTCCACCAACACCGCACGGTAAATCTGCATTTGCCAGGGCGTCCGGTCGACCAAAAAGCGCGAAACCCTGGTGCCGTAGCGCTCTGACTGCGCGGAGGTCTGTTTGTTCACCCTAGTTTTCCCGACATGCGAAAGTTTTGAAATCGTAACCTGCTGCCCGCTCACGATAGCCTGCCCTGGTTCCCTTCAACGAAGGGGGTGCTATCTTTTCTATAGCGGACCGCGGCTTTCGATTCGACAATCTGGGCAAGCTGAGGTAAACGAAAACATCCCGCGTCGCGTGAGCTTCATCGGGCTCATGTCGAGACCAACCAAAAAGGGGTCAGCCTTTCCCGTTCAATCACAGTTCCCTCTCAATCAACCTGCTGTCGTCTTCAGCCGCTTCCGTCTTGCACATTTACAGGATCAAAGCAGGGCGCCATTTTTGCTGGGAGGTTTTGCCTAGCCACTTCCCTTCAGTCCGATCATTCGCAGTGCACTTCAAACCAACCCTAACATCCCAGCTTTGCCTGTAAGCTTTTCTCCCCAATACGGCGGCTAGTCACTCGTTTCTCCCACTCTAGAGCATCCTTCAGATCAAAGACTACTAATCGTAGATCACTCCACGCGAAACCCGTCGCCATGGCTCGTCGCATGGCGCTGTGCATACTGGCGCTCCTAGCGGCCTCCACCTTCTCCTTGCACTGCAGCGCCAAATTTCTTTACGACCCTCCTCCGGGCTTCACGGCGCCTCCCGATACCGTGCCGCTCCTTCCCCCTCCCGGGCCCAAGCTGCCCGACCCAGACGTCGGTACCATCTCGAGCCTCGCTGACGTGTGCAAGGTCTGCACTTCGAAACCGTACACGCAAGACTGCATGGGCGACTTCACCGCGCGCTGCCTCAAAGCGCAGAAGATATACCGCGAGAAAATCCTCGGCATTCCCGATAACATCTGCCATTGCTACCAGGCTATAGGCACCGAACTTCTCGATTCGTGCCCTGGGGCCGTGAAGCAGCTCGCATGGCTCGGCAATTGCGATAACTTCTGCTACTATGGCGTGCGCTGCCCGATCATTTTCGCGCTCTACAGTCTCGCGTCGCCCAAGTACGCTCGCCTCGCGCACGACAACAACCCCAACGCGCCGCAGCCGGCGGCACGCGGGTCCGCGCTCGTCGTCCTCAAATTCCGCATCGACCAGGCAGTCGGGCACGATATCTGCTACCGGTTCTACCCGTCGGACGACTTGCCGGCCGTCCAATCCGTCGTGCTCTACCACGCGACGATCGCGCAGACCGGAACGGCTTTGGTGAAGCTAATGGCTTCTGGAAGCAGCCCTGCTAAGGCGTGCATTTCCGTGCAGCACACTTTAATCAAGGCTCTCAACGACAACTCGACGTCGTTCTACGTGCAAGTTAACACCGCCGGCGGCGTCGTTCGCGGGCAGCTGGTCGCGACGCCACGGCTCATGACCGCCGCCACGTCAACCGACGCCGGCGCGCGCTGCGGCGGAAAGCTCTGCATGGCCGTCGCTGACATGGCGTTTTCGCTCTATTCCGCTAAGTACCAGCTTAACTTCTCTCGTGCCGTCGGCCCTCGCATCGCCGCGAACCTCGTCGCTGGTAGTAAGGGTCAGAAGGGAGGAGATTACCTCGTCAGCTTCTACGGGCCCGGAAAAGCCGCAGTCAGCGACATGAACTCCGTGACTCCTGATCCCAATGCCATTCTCGATGTCCTCACAGACCCTCCCGCGCATTACCTGAATGTCTCCACCAACGGTCAGCCGTCGGGAGCGCTTCGCGGCCAGCTGTCGGATTCGCTGACGGTTTTCGCCGTGCTGTATGGTTACCAGGTGCAGCCGCCGTCGGGGATTTCGGGAACGGGGGTTTTCCTCGCACAGATCGGCGGAGGAGGCATCTGCTACGAGTTTCAGTTCCTTAACGTGCCGGTGCAGCCGACGTACGCTTATCTCCATCGCGCCACGTACTCGTCGCGCGGCCCAATCGTGCTGTCTACGACCCTCGAGATTAGCAACAAGATGAAGTGCTTGCAGGCCGATACGGAGCAGACGGGCTCGATCATTACAAACGCGGGAGAGTACTACGTGCAGGTGTACACGGAAAAGTTCAACAAGGGGCTGCTTCGCGGACAGCTGTACGTCGCTCCCGCTCAGGTTCTGCAATAAAGTTACTTGGTAACCTCACCTCAAGACTGAGGAGGCAGGGCTCATCGAAGGTTGTTGGCGAAGGGCTACTGGTGAAGGGGAAAGGGATGGTGGCGTGCGGGTGGAGCCGATTACATCTCGGAACATGGCTCGCGTGATCGTAGTGGTTCGGGGCGCGCTGCCTGTGAGAAACAGGCTGATCTCGCTGATACGGTTTATCCGTGCTGGGCATCAAATGGCTATAGCTTGTGTCTCTATACACTGCCAGGTTAATCCGAGCCTTCGTAGAGGTTAGGAATAATGATTGTGCAACATATTTTGTGTAGCATGTCAATTATACCAGCTTAGTACCATGTACCAGCATCTGACTTCACATCTTTAGCCTTTATGATACACCGCACAAGTAGAGTTTTAAAACAATAATGGCACTGGTGCTTGATCTAAGGAATGAACAACTACTATGGTGCCTTATTCAGGTACATGTTACAACCCTAAGCCCTGGAACTTGATTTGTAGGCTCAAGTGCTTGCTTTGTAGGTACAACTGGTGGTATGGCGCTCGACCTGAGTCACGTTTCCCATTTTGGAGTATTTTCACGGCGACTCGTCTTCGATGTATGAACCCTGTAAAAGTGCTCTGGCTGAACAGGCTCGTCTGATTCTGTGCGCAGACGATGCCACACCAACCGCTCAACTGCTGCCAGCAGCGCCCACTCATGCCTGTTGTTGCTGCTGCTGCTGTGTTTGCTGCTGCCGAGACGCCTGTGACAATCCGATGTGTCAATCTGACACCCATGCAGACTGCTCCTCGTATTTCCAGGCTCCTTGCCAACTCCCGTATCATGTGCCTGCTCAGCTTCTTTCCCTGCAGCGACTACAGCAGCAGGTCTCCAACTTGTGACATTTGACCATATGGTACCAGAGCTAGCTGCTTTCACGTCCAAATGACCGCTCCAGAAGGCTCGTCCTCCACTTTCCCTCCTTCCCCCCCAGCCCCTTAGCACACTGCTCCTGCTGCTGACACCCACTGCTTTGAGAGAACTTTCTCTCCTTTCGGCTGCTGCAAAATCCCAGACAGCGGGCTCACAAGTAAAGTTTTCAGCAAAAACATCAACATCAGCACTGGCACCAGCATCACCGGCAGTAGGAGCATCAGTGCTTGAAAACAGAACTGCCGAAGCAGCAGAAGTAGGCTCTTTGCCGTCATTTTCCACGCCTTGATTGCCGTCATGGCTGCTGCGGCTGCTCCTATCCTGGCTTGCTCTCCTATTCCTACTTCCGCTTCTGCCAATTCTGCTGCTGGCTGCATCGCTAACGCTAGTTGCTGCAACGAGGTTACTAATACCCAACAATCCTCCAACGCCAGCATCAAATTCCTCCCGTTCTTCACAAAGACTCTTATTAGAGGCACTGCCGGTAGTGGCACACCGTACAGAACTATCCCTTTTCCGGCGCCGAACAATAAACCCTTCTTCTCTAAACGCGTCGTCCTCCTCATCCTCCTCGCTCTCGCTTCTGAATCTCCCCCCCGCGAGAAAATTGCGCGGACACCAATCGTCCCCCATTTCCCCGCCTTCCCCTCCACGATCCCCGCCAACCGCCACAGCCGCGCGCCTCTCCTCATCCTCCTCATCGTCCATCTCCCCCACCACCTTCTCCTGCCACTCCAGCAGCAGCAGCGGCGTTTGCGGGCGGTCCCAGTGAACCTCGCCGCCTCCGTTAAAATCGCCGCTCGCGCCGGCGGCGTCGAAAGCGTCGGAACTATCATGCGTGGACGACAGGCCGCAGCCTTCGTCACAACACGACAGAGAGAGCGAGCACGGGGAGGAGCAGGAGGAGGTGGCGTACGCTGGCGGTACGGATTGGCGGAAAATGGGCGCAGACATGGGGATGATCGGGGAAGCGGAAGCGGAAGTGGACGAAGAGGGTATCCGGTCGACTGGAAACGCTTTCCCGCAGCCCTGCACGTAATTACCCGCGCAACGCGCATTCGACGTAGCTCCCGGCGCGGAGGGGCCCATGATGCTTTCCGCCGACCCCTCCATTCCTCCGCGCAATCGCGCCCCACCTGCACTGCTGCAGCCCGCCTTGCCACAAGAGTTACCATCTCCGTGCGCAATTTCGCTAGGATGTTGTTCGCATCTCCGTTCGTCATCGTCAACCGCGACGCATGCTGCTGCCTCCCCGTCTTGATTTTTGCCGCGGCTGTTGCGGCTGCGGAAGCGGCTCGCCTGCGCTTGCCGATGCGCGTTCGACTCGGCGGCGTGGGTGAAGAGGTCACGAAGGTCATTCTTGAGCACGTGCGGCCTCGTGTTCAGCACGTGCCTCGCCGCTTTAGTTGCGTTAGCACCCATGTCGCGCGCACCCACGCGGACTGATTCAATCTAATTGCCTACTGCAACTTGCTGCAACCCGCTACTGTTACCTGTTACACTAGTTTCCAGATCATCCGCACTTGTAGACTGGAAGCTAGCAGATCGGCTACTCCCAATAACATGTAGACTGCTCCAAATCGTACTCACAAAATTGAAATCTCGTATAGTTTCGAACCTCTGCTGAGCTTCCGATCAGTGTTTTCTTGTCGTAAAGGGACTCCTCTTCTTCTGCGGCCGTCAACAAGTTCCTAGCGTTGTTGTCACGGGAAAAGAGAGATCGTGGTCTAAGACCTTCCTGTTTGAAGATAGAAGACTCTGGGAAGTGAGGGAAGGGAGGATGGTCCAACAACCATAGCTGGAGGGGAGACACGTGATACACCAGGAGAAACAGAAACCTTCTTGACAAGTCTGCTCGTGAAACAGTGCTTCCTCGAATTTCCCCGAGGTCCTTCAGAGAAACGGAATCTGGGCACGATTCATTTGACGACATTCTCGGAGTTGGCGAAGGCCAATAACACGTGACGAAGGGGTGTCACCATTTAGCGAAACTAATGCGACATATGACTGAACGATTGTCGTGGCTTCACCTTTCCTAACCTGGGCCTTGGACGAAAAGTGCGGGGCGGACCCACCCGCAAGCGCGCAGCTTTCGCGCGTATTGGCGGGTCGGCTGAGTTTACCCAAACCCCAGTGTTCAAATCAGAGTCAGTGTGCTGCGACAACAGGGTTACGTCTTGCGACCCTAACGACCTCCAGACGATCCAAACGGAAATCTGCGACCGGGCGGTCATATTGTTGGTGGAGATTTGGTCCACAGAAATTTGGCGATGCATTGAAATCTCAGGGGTGACGCGTTCTGGCGATGATTCGTTTTCTGTCGCCAGGAGAAACCAGTCAGCCGCTCAGGCGAAGCCGCCAGTGCGAGCCGCACTGCCCCAGCCGGCAGCGCGGGTCAGACCTTCCGCACCGACGTATCTGGTTCGGGGTTCCCCGCCAGTTTGGCGTCGCCTAGGTGCCAGAGCAACTGGCGCAGGCCAGTCGATTTTCGGGCATATGCCCTTAATGCCCTGAACATTAAGGGCTAGTTTTGCTCCAGCTCCAATGCGTCAAGTTTTAGATTCGCACCCCACCCGTGCCACTAAGTGCTTCCTTCGGCCCTTCCTCGGATGCGTTAAGGGACGGAACCAGGCCTTCCCCTTTATCTAAGTTTTGGTTTCCGATCGTAGGACCCCCCCCCCAGGGTGCCAGAGACCCCCCCCCCTCTTTCTCCTTAGCCTGCACGAGAGCGCACAGTGGGGATTTTTCCCTTAGCGTTTTCTAGCCAATCTCGTGTGTGTAGTGTGTCTCAGTCAGCCTTGGAGCACCCGAACATTCCCTTAGCGTCCAATACGAGCTGGCCACAGTTTACAGCCCTGGCCGCTGTATCCTAGTAAAATACAGTGTAGTGCAAACTTCTCACATGCCCTGATTTCAAGTTTACACTTTGGGGTGCGCCCGTGACCGTTAAGGGCGCCAAAACGCTCACCTACACCCAACCAAGGGTCAGATCGGGAGGTGCTGGGGAGCGCAAGTACGAGCCCCAGAAACTTCGACAGGCCTGAACTGGCGTCAGTTGAAACGATGTGGAGACAAAGACTAAAGCTGCCATGACGGTGGATTCCCCACCAACACCGCCAGCATTCAGTTGGCGATGATGCAATATGAGGAATACGTGAGCTGGCGGGTCGTAAATCGCGAGCCGATGAACTTGGTCAGACTGACCTGTATGGCGGCGTGCTTGACTCATCGGGGGATGATCTGGAAGTCCTTACTGCAATGGACAACCGTGGCAGCCCAAAAGCCGTGGCGCAGGGCGGCTGCAGAAGGACTCGCCATTTCGTACTCTGCAAGCAACAAATCGGTTCTGTTGTGTTTTGCGATAAAACACTATTAGATACAACAAAAGCTTAATTGTATAATTCATGTGCCACCACAGAACCAAGAACAGCCAATCTAAGCATCTCTTCCCGATTATCCATACCCTTCCAAAAATGCCGAACCATGCGCCCATCCGGGCCAGTGAGTTCCAAAAAAGGAACAATGACCATGTTTTTGCGATAAAAGGCAGCCAACCGAGCAAGGCGACGTTGTTCCCAAGGGTGCTCCCATAGAAATTCACTTTCCTCTTGCTCCCTGTACCAAACGCGCAATGCCTGTGGGATTGGGAAATACAAACACCACATGAGAAGGAGCGGAAAAGACTAGACGGGACCCAAGCGTACAATGCACTTCGCCCAATGCATATTGCTACACACCACTTCGGAAGACTGCGCCTAATCAGGTATGTTACGCAATTTGCCTCCAACTGCAGCAGCACCACATGGCTCACCTCAATCGCAGCAGCCGACCGTCTTCACAAGGAGACTCCAGCATTGATGAACTCGAGATCAGGGTTGAAAAGCGCCTCTGCTCCTGCATGCCCGTACTGCTGTGGTGACAACTCAGAAGCCACTACACAGCTCACCTCGATTGCAGCAGCCGACCGTCACCACAAGGAGACTCCAGCATTGATGAACTCGGGATCAGGGTTGAAGAGCGCCTCTGCCCAGGCATGCGGGCACTGCGGTGACTGTTCTTGAGTCGGCCCAAAATCCACTTCACGGCTCACCTCGATTGCAGCAGCCGACCGTCTCCACAAGGAGACTCCAGCATTGATGAACTCGAGATCAGGGTTGAAAAGCGCATCTGCCCGGGCATGTGGGTACTGCGAGTAGCGGTCGTCCACGTTCCGGGGGAAGAGCGCGAAAACTGCATCTTTATCGCCGTCGTCAGGGAGGAGGAGCGTGGCAGGGTCGCGGGGGAAGTGCGTCTGGTTTACCAGACTAGCCCCGTAGTCCTTGGGTATCCAGTCGAAATAGCCCTGTGTGAGAGGGAATTGCATGATCCGATCGGGAAAGGGGGTCCAAACAGTCGGGAAAGGAGAGCGGACGACACAAAGGGAGTTAAAAAAAAAAACAGTAATGCACGCAGACAGTCTGGGATAGTACAATACAGGAACCACGATGAACCAAAATGAACCTTTACGAATCTAGAGAAGAGCTGAGACTGAGAATAAGCGAGATGAACTAACATCGATCTGAAGCTGCGAGAGCCAGGACTCCACAGAGAGCTGGTGAGTGTTGAATCGGAAATAGGCGTCCGAGTCAATGCAGAAGGCCCAGCGGCAGCAGCACGTGAGCTGCTCCTGGATGAAGAGCACCTGCGGAGCGCAGCAGGCAGACAGGCAGGCAAGGAGACAAGGCATGCAGAAGGTGTTGCTAGTGAGGATGGAAAGAGGGGATTTTGAGTTGTTGCAGAAGGCCCACTGGCTGGCCGCAGCACGTGAGCTGCTCCTGGATGAAGAGCACCTGCGCAGCACAGCAGGCATGGCATCGTCTGTACATGGAGGGACAAGGAGACAAGGAGGGACGTTTAGCTTAGTAGAGTAAAACACAGGGGATTTTGAGTTGCTGCAAAAGGCCCACTGGCAGCAGCAGCACATGAGCCGTTCCTGGATGAAGAGCACCTGCAGAGAGGGAATGCAGGAAGATGATGCGGACAGAGGGTGGATGAAAGGGTGTGCTTAGCTGGGCGCATTAGGAGTCGCACGGGCTGTTGGGAGGAGCATGGGCCTTGGTGAACAATGTTGAGCTGTTTGTTATGTTGAAGCAGGAACATGTTTCATCATTGTCACCTGGGGAACCATATTATTGTGGGTAGCTGTTTGTTACCTTGAACCATGACGAGTGCCGGTCTTGTTGGTACCGTGTCGGATCCATGACTGCAAATCGGTACCCATGCTTGCGTGCATAGGCCCTAGAGGGGGAGAGGGACGGAGAGGGAGGGAAGGAGCGGAAAGGAGAGTGAAGGAGATAGAAGGAGGGAAAAGGAGACGAGAATAACAGCTGTATATTCTGGGAGCAGAGACTAAACTGAGAATAGACACAAACAGGGGGGGCTGAGGGAAGGGGGCATCAATGAAGGAGTTGTGGAATGTGTATGCCGAGTGGACTAAACTAAGGGGGAGAGAATGACAAGTAGAAGTTAATACACACACAAGGGACAAACAAGTTAATAGCAATCATCAGTTGGTAACATCGCTAGCGAATGCGGACAACCCAAATGACTCAGAGAACCAATCCCAGTGCCTTGAACATCTTCTGCTCTTTCCAGTACTTCCCTTAGCCAAATTCATCCTTCATTCTTCCACTCGCCTCTTCCTCCTTCCTCCTCCCACTCACCGGTTGATGATCTTTGAAGCAGCCCAGTAGGGCATGTTCTCCCCATTCTCCTCCATGTAGTTGTGTGGATAGGAGCCAGAATCAGACTCAGAATCAGAATCAGGGGAGGAGGTAGTGGAGAGGGGGGGGACGGGCCAGGGGCCTGCTATGTGGTTTGCGTTGAGAGAGCGGTCGTCCACGTAGAGAATGCAGCCTGGCAGGGGTCGAGACTCGTACTCTGTCGTGGTGAAAAGGGGAAAAAGTGATGGAGGAAAGGAGATGGGAATAGAGGAAAGGAGGTGGGAACGTGAGGAACTAAGAGTGGGGAGACAGAGGCAGAAGCTCCAGCAAAACAGCATCAGCAGGGGACTAGAGAGGCGAGCTTGCGGGCGGAGCGGCCATCCTAAAGCAGTGGCATTCAGGGCTCAGTCCAGTCCAGCAAGAAGCATGAAGGGATTTTGAGAAGGAGCACATCTTTGCCAAGGAGAGCTACCTGGCTTTGAACATGCATTCAATGGGAAGCTTAGAAGGCTGGCTGGCAGCTATTGCACATTCCACCCACCTTTGAGGCTGGCTGTGAGACGTGATAGTTCACGCAGTGTGGAACGGTTGCTTGCCAGTGCTGACACTGTTTTGAGACGTCTCAAAACACTTCTTCATACACGTGGCCATTGCACCCACCTTTGAGGCTGGCTGTGAGGTGTGATAGTTCACGCAGTGTGGCTTGATTGCTTGCCGCTGCTGATGCTGCCAGTATCCGCACTTGCTCCTGGAAACCGTTCCCGTCCCAGCCCAACGTACAGCACCATGCAGCACCCCTCATCCATCACAGCAGCAGCATGCAGCAACCCCCATCCATCATAGCAGCACCATGCCGCACTCCCCATCCGTCACAGCAGCATGCGCAGACAGACACAAGAAAGCCCATGAGAAGAGGAATGCGCGTGCGAACCATGCGAAAGGCGCATATGCGTGCCAGAGGGAAAGACAGAGGAAGCGGAGATTGAAGCGAGAGTGGGTGGGTGGAAAGAGGGAGCAAGCGCAATGGGGACGGGATAGAGACAGTGAGGCGGGGGAACGGCGGGAAAGGGGGGAAGGAGGGGGTAAGGGAGGCGGCATAGAAGCCCATTCGAGAAGGAAGAAGGGGCAGGCGGGGGGACGGCGAAAAGAGGGAGCGGGAGAGTGTGTGTACATGAGCGAGGGAATCCAGCCAGTAGTGCACGATAACGGCTACCGCCACCTTTTGAGACGTCTCAAAAGGAGGAGTGGGAGGGGGGAACAGGGGGAAGAGAGCGGGGGATGTGTGTGTACTTGAGCGAGGATATCCAGCCAGTAGTGCACGATCACGGCTACCGCCACCGCGCCTGCAACGGCCGCCGTTACCGCTGCTCCTGATCTGCCTCTCCACCACGAGCCCGCCGGTTCCGCCGATCGGCCTGCTCCTATTACTACCCTCCAAATCCATCCTAACCATGTCCATCCTGCCGACTTCAATGTTATAAATGATCTCCGGGTATCGGTTCCATCCGCTTGTCTCGTTCGCACGAATGTATTGCTGAGTCGCGAGGCGATTCCGCGGATTCCGCCGCTAAACGCGGAAGTGATCGCCGCGTAGGTTGACTCGCCAGATCGTCTAGAGCGTACGGAACGGCGTCTACCGCGGGACGCTGATGGAATCTCCGCCGTCGATCGCGCTGACGGCATGGCTTTCGTTTCTCGGGGGGTTGTGTTCTCACCACTCTGAACCGTTCTCCGCCGGAGAGTGCTCTCCCAAAAGTAATAAATCTCTAACTGAAGTTCTCCTTTACCTATCAACCCCGATCCGATGCTTGATTGGTTCTACCCATCGGCTCACCGGCTGTAACTCGCTGCGAGAGAAGCTGTTCACTGGATCTAGACGCACGATTCATACTCTATTCGAGCGAAGGAAAGATACAAGACATCGCCTTTTCTTCCATAAACCGAGAAACTGAGAGGACGCAATGCAGGAGTCGTCACCAGCTGCCCAGCGGGAGGTGTCCGTGACAGGCGCTGCTTGCACAGCACAACATTTTTTGTGTGCAGTTGTGCGGCCTGTGGGCTTTTCTGCTGTGGTGCGGTGGCAGCAGGGGAAACTGCTGTTCACAATCAGATATCCACGGTTCGTACGTATAACATAGCGGTAACTCTGGTTGTTTATGAGTTGTAGGCGTTTTAGTTGGACTCTGTGCGGTGAAAATTGTAGCAGGTTTGACTTGGACAACGGCGGGTGGTTTCTGGGTAAGGCTGCGACAACGACAGCCACTAGGCTCCGATTTAAATACTCCGGGTTTGCGTAGAATCTGCAAACCAACCACATACTTCTGTTAGAATGATCTCTTTACACATTCTGAAGCGTTGAGCTAAGCCAGAGATCCACGACCAAGTATAGTGAAAATCTTGACTTCCCTGGATAAAATTAGCCTTTATAAAAAAAAAATAGCCTTTTTATATAGCGACGAATCCATCAGCAACGACGAATGAGTATTTATTGTCATTGCACACATAAATATCACATTAAGATAATCGATGCAGCTCCTACACGCAACTTTTGCATTCACACAGCCCACACGGCATGCCAAATTCCGCATGGCTCCACCCCTGTGTGGGGCTCAGAAAGAAAATCCGCCATTCCGTGTTTTGACAAGTCTCATTCCGCCATTGCATCGGTTTATGCGGAGAAACTGCACTAAACCTGTGTGGCACGTAACGCGTTTTGTCGATTCTCCAGCTGGGAGAAAGGTGCATTCATCCCTCCATCCTTTTCGACGACCTCCACCTCCTTTCCGTGCTGCTTCTTCTCAAGCATACCTATAAATAGAATCTCGCATAATCGGCTCGCATAGAAAGAAGTTTACATAAAAGCTCGCAAGTGTAAACTTGCAAAGAATATCGCAAAGAAGCTTCCAAGGGAGCTCGCATGGGAGGCGAAAATGAGGACGTCGCGGAGCGAGGCGCGAACAGCAGCAGTGCCGTCAACAACCAGGTTCTGTTAGCGGCTGCAGCAGGCGGATACGCTACCGGAAGCGCGGGAAACAGTGGAAGCGGCGGTGGACGCGGCGGCGGCGGCGGCGGCGGCGGCGGTGGCGGCGGTGGCATTGGCGATGGGAGAGAAGATGGAGCGGGAGAAGGAAGCGGGAAGTGGGACGGAGGGCGAGAGGAAGGTCGAGGCGCGCTGGCTGACGTGGCACTGGCAGGGCACCCAGACGACCCGCTGTCGTGGTCTGTGGAGGTGAGGGAGGGAGAGCGAGGGGGGCTAGATGGAGCAGATAAGGAAACAGGAGAAGAAAGGCTAGCGGTAAAACAGAGGCAAGCGAAGATAGAGTAGGCATCTTTTTTCTTTCTTTCTTTCTTTCTTTTTTCTTTGTGGGGAGAGAGGGGGGGGGGGTCTTGTGGCAAGTGGAATGTGGGCGAGTGGCTGCAGCACAGCCTCCAAATCGCTCTGTACCTATGCACCTGCACAATGCACCCGATTCGCACACTCGTGCCTCTCCCTCAACCTCCCTCCCACGCCTATTCACTTGGGCCCCGCAGGGCGTGGGCGAGTGGGGCTCCAGAAGGAGGCCTTCGGCGAGTGCAGGCGAGGGGGTGTTCGCCACGCAGCAGATCAACGGCCGAGCACGGCCAAGCACGGGCGAGCACGGGCGAGGCGAGCACGGGCGAGCTATTGTTGAAAAGAAAACTCTAACACACCTCCCATCGACCCATCTCCCCACAGGGCGTGGGCGAGTGGCTGCATAAGGAGGGCTTCGGCGAGTTCAGGGAGGTGTTTGCAACGCAGCAGGTGAACGGCGCTGTGCTGCTGTTGAGTGAAAACTCTAAAACTTATCCCTCCTCCCCACAGGGCGTGGGTGAGTGGCTGCAGAAGGAGGGCTTTGGCGAGTTCAGGGAGGTGTTTGCATCACAGCAGGTGAACGGCGCTGTGCTGCTGCGGCTGTCCCGGGAGTCGCTGGCGGAGCTGGTGCCATCGTTGGGGCCCAGAATGGCCGTGCTGGACGCTATAGAGAAGCTGCGAGGTATGAATGGGGGGATGTGGGGTTGTGCGGTTGTTTGTGGGTGAGTGGGTGAGTGGGTGAGTGGGTGAGTGGGTGAGTGGGTGAGTGCACCTGTCCCGGGAGTCTCTGGCGGAGCTGGGGCCCTGAATGGCCGTACTGGATGCCTCTGAAAAGCTGCGAGGTGGGATTGGGGGGTGTGGGTGAGTGAGTGAGTGAGGGAGAGAGTGAGGGAGTGAGGGAGTGTGTGAGTGTGTGAGGGCGTGAGTAATGAGCCAGGAGAAGGCCTAAGAGCTCCTAGAACATTCGTGTAGAGCATGGGAGAGCACTTTCTGGCTGAGGTGAGCCGCAGGGAGTGTATAGGGGAGGGGCTGGGTGTTAGAATTAGGCTGCCAACATTTTGTGTACTATATTTTATTTCGCATGGGTTATTTGCGGGTTGGGTGTAGTTTGTAATCCCAACCCTATCTGGTTGGGATTCCCTCGTAATCCTGCAAATCTGCCAACTCACCAATTGGAGATTTGCTAGGATTCCCATCCCATCCTTTCCCTAGCCTTTCCCAACCCAACCTCGTTTGTACTTAAGGCCTAGTGCCTTCTTTACTAATCAATCAGTTGAGCTCCTTTTCTATCACTGGGAGGGGTTGGGAGGGGCTGAGAGGGGCTGGGAGGGGCTGAGAGGGGCTGGGAGGGTTGGGGAGGGTTGGGTAGCAGGAGGAAGGCACACGGGCCGTCGTATTGAACGTCTCAACTCTAGTCCTTGTTCCTTTCTTTTCTTCTTTATCCTCTCCACACAGGGTGGAAGGCAGGACCAAGGCACGTGGGCGAGGGGCTAGTAGCAGGCTTGCATGCCTTTGCTGCTAAATTCGTGCATGGACTGGATCACCTGCTGGTGGGTGCAGTGCGGTGCACTGTGTTCTGGTGCTGTGCGGTGACGTGCGGTCTGGTGCAGTGCTGTGCTGTGGCAGTGGCGAACCCCGTGTGTGCTGCTGCACGTGGTTGTTATGTTGCTGTGGTCTGGTCCGTCAGGTTTGGTCCGTAAGTGTGTTACGTTCATGCTCTCTGTTACGTCCTTGATGCTGCTGGTTGTTTTTGAGAATGGAAAGTTGGCAAACGCTTGCTGCGTTACGAACCCAGCGAATTTCAACAATCATACTCTCTGTTACGTCCTTCAACCTAATCCGGAATGTACGATACGGTGGTGTGTATGCCGGATCATCGGTGCTCTGTGCATGCGTGTGTGTTGACGGGGACCGGGGGATGGGGGGGGAGAGGGGTGCGTGTGTCACGTGTGTGTGTGTGTGTGTGTGTGTGTGTGTGTGTGTGTGTGTGTGTGTGTGTGTGTGTGTGTGCTGTGCTGTGCTGTGCTTATCACACACCTGTTGTTGTCCTATACACACATGCAGAACGACCCTATAGAGGGTGCATCAAAGGAAGGTGTATCGGGGCTAATGCACGGGCTCTCCATGGGAATTACAGGGTAAGTGAGCTGGTCTTCCCCCCCCCCCCGCATACACTCCGCCTCACCCCTCCCATCACTCCCCCACACCACCCACACGCACTAACAACCCCACTCCCCCTGACACCCCCTGACACCCCCTCACAATCCCACGCACCACCGACGCACCCCCCACACTCCCACTCCACCCACTCACCCCCGATGCTATTGGCTCTCTTACAGCAGCTGGAAGTCTCACTGAATTGTCTATACCCCTTCATCTCTTTGCCTTGTCTGTCTTCACTCCCCCGCTTGTCTCCCTTTCCCTCAGAGCCATCAAGCATCCAGTGGAGGGAGTGGCGATGCTCTCTCAGCAGCTAGGAGACGGCTTTCGCCGCACGCCCGACGCGCTCTTCGGCCGATCTCCTGCACTAGAAGACAAACAGGGCTCCGCTCCCCCCTCCCCAGTCGTCACGCCCCTCCCCTCCGCCTCCTCCCCCTTCCCCGCCTCTTTTCCTGGTTCTTCCTCTAGACAGGAGGATTCTGTGGGGCTGTTATCGCACCCCACCGCGCTGCACCTAGACCCAGCGTTTGGATCCTCCTCCTCTGTATCCCCTTCTCAAGCTCTGTCCCGTTATAAGCCCAGTTCCTCCCCTGGTTCAGCAACAAAGAAGATAGGATCAGGGATGGCTGTGGGGGAAGAAAGGGGGGCGGGGGAGGAGAAGGGGGAAGGGGGCGGACGGGGGGGAAGCGGTGGGGGTGGGGGAGGCGGAGGAGTAGGGGAGGGTTCTGAAGGGGCGGGGTTGACAGGAGGGGGAGGAAATGTTGGTGGTATTGGTGGTAACAGCAGCGGTGCTGATGGTAGTAATAGTGGTGGTGGTGGGATGGTAGTGACAAGTGCTCCCATGATGGTGAGGAGGATAGAAGAGGCAAAGCCAGATTTCCTCAAAGATGAGGGGGACGGGTCGCGGCCGGCTCACATAGGGGAGGGTATCCTGGTGGGCATGCGGTGCTTTGGCAGCGACCTTTATGATGGGCTCACTGGCATTGTGGTGAGTGGGTGGGGTGCGGTGTGGTGGGGTTGGGTGGGGTGCTTTGGGGTGGTGTGGGTTGGGTCGCGGCCGGCTCACATAGGGGAGGGCATTCTGGTGAGCATGCGATGCTTTGGCAGCGACCTTTATGACGGGCTCACTGGTATTGTGGTGAGTGGGTGCTGTGGGGTGGGGTGGGATGGCGTGGGGTGGGAAGGTGCGTTTCTTTAGACACACCTCAACTCTGCGGAACACTGTGCTTTGGCAGCGACCTGTATGACAGCCTCACTGGGATCGTGGTGAGTGGGTGCGGTGGGGTGGAATGGGGTTGGGTGGGGTGCAGTGGGGCAGGGTGGGATGCTGTGGGTTTGGGTACGGTGGGTGGGTGCGTTTCTTTGGCACAGCTCGACTTAATGGAATGCGGTTCTTGGGCAGCGACCTGTATGATGGCAACATATGCATTGTGGTGCGTGGTGTGGTGTGGTGGGATGGGATGGGATGGGATGGGATGGGAGGGGATGGGATGGAATGCATAAGTAGTGACGTAATATGCATGGCTGTGTTGACTGTGCACACGCTTTGTTAGACATGCATCCATCCATCCATCCATCCATCCATCCATCCATCCATCCATCCATCATCCATCCATCCATCCATCCATCCATCCATCCATCCATCCATCCATCCATCCATCCATCCATCCATCCATCCATCCATCCATCCATCCATCCATCCATCCATCCATCCATCCATCCATCCATCCATCCACCCATCCATCCACCCACCCACCCGTCCATTGTCCATTTAACCATCCATCCATGCATGCATGCAGACGGAGCCAATGAAGGCCATGGCAATGGCGCGAGACAAGGGATCAGGATCAGCGGCAGTGCCAGCAGCAGCAGTCATGCGAGGGCTGGCCAAAGGGCTTGCAGGGTGAGTCGACTCATTCCCACTTGGTTTCTAGTTTTAAGGCGCCTTGTAACTAGTCAGCTGCAGTGCCAGCAGCAGCAGTCATGCGAGGGCTGGCCAAAGGGCTTGCAGGGTGAGTCGACTCATTCCCACTTGGTTTCTAGTTTTAAGGCGCCTTGTAACTAGTCAGCTGCAATGCCAGCAGCAGCAGTCATGCGAGGGCTGGCCAAAGGGCTTGCAGGGTGAGTCGACTCATTCCCACTTGGTTTCTAGTTTTAAGGCGCCTTGTAACTTGTCAGCTGCAGTGCCAGCAGCAGCAGTCATGCGAGGGCTGGCCAAAGGGCTTGCAGGGTGAGTCGACTCATTCCCACTTGGTTTCTAGTTTTAAGGCGCCTTGTAACTAGTCAGCTGCAGTGCCAACAGCAGCAGTCATGCGAGGGCTGGCCAAAGGGCTTGCAGGGTGAGTCGACTCATTCCCACTTGGTTTCTAGTTTTAAGGCGCCTTGTAACTAGTCAGCTGCAGTGCCAGCAGCAGCAGTCATGCGAGGGCTGGCCAAAGGGCTTGCAGGGTGAGTCGACTCATTCCCACTTGGTTTCTAGTTTTAAGGCGCCTTGTAACTAGTCAGCTGCAGTGCCAGCAGCAGCAGTCATGCGAGGGCTGGCCAAAGGGCTTGCAGGGTGAGTCGACTCATTCCCACTTGGTTTCTAGTTTTAAGGCGCCTTGTAACTAGTCAGCTGCAGTGCCAGCAGCAGCAGTCATGCGAGGGCTGGCCAAAGGGCTTGCAGGGTGAGTCGACTCATTCCCACTTGGTTTCTAGTTTTAAGGCGCCTTGTAACTAGTCAGCTGCAGTGCCAGCAGCAGCAGTCATGCGAGGGCTGGCCAAAGGGCTTGCAGGGTGAGTCGACTCATTCCCACTTGGTTTCTAGTTTTAAGGCGCCTTGTAACTTGTCAGCTGCAGTGCCAGCAGCAGCAGTCATGCGAGGGCTGGCCAAAGGGCTTGCAGGGTGAGTCAACTCATTCCCACTTGGTTTCTAGTTTTAAGGCGCCTTGTAACTAGTCAGCTGCAGTGCCAGCAGCAGCAGTCATGCGAGGGCTGGCCAAAGGGCTTGCAGGGTGAGTCGACTCATTCCCACTTGGTTTCTAGTTTTAAGGCGCCTTGTAACTAGTCAGCTGCAGTGCCAGCAGCAGCAGTCATGCGAGGGCTGGCCAAAGGGCTTGCAGGGTGAGTCGACTCATTCCCACTTGGTTTCTAGTTTTAAGGCGCCTTGTAACTAGTCAGCTGCAGTGCCAGCAGCAGCAGTCATGCGAGGGCTGGCCAAAGGGCTTGCAGGGTGAGTCGACTCATTCCCACTTGGTTTCTAGTTTTAAGGCGCCTTGTAACTAGTCAGCTGCAGTGCCAGCAGCAGCAGTCATGCGAGGGCTGGCCAAAGGGCTTGCAAGGTGAGTCGACTCATTCCCACTTGGTTTCTAGTTTTAAGGCGCCTTGTAACTAGTCAGCTGCAGTGCCGGCAGCAGCAGTCATGCGAGGGCAGGCCAAGGGACTTTGCCGGGTCAGTCAGTCCCAGTCCTTCCCTCTTGCGCCTACCACCTTATCCTCTCCTTACTCACGCGCAAGCCCTCCTTCTCATGCTCGGCCTGTCCACATTGTCAACCCCTTTCGCCGTTTTTGTTCCTGCTTCTGTAGACATGATGCTTTTGTCTTGTGCCTGGCCCCTGTGCCTGTGTGTACGTGTTCGCTTGCGTATATATATGTACGTGTGCGGGTGTGCAATGTGCATGTATGGACTCATGCTGTCTTGCCTCGTCAACTTCTCTGCGTCGACTCTTCCCTCCGCAACACTCAACAGTGCAATCTGCAAGGTGAGTACTCTGTCTCTTCATCCATCTCCCAAAAAATACACAGCTACATCATTTTTTTATTCAGCACATTCGCATTCTCCAAATACTTACTCTCATTCTCGGCCTGCCCTCCCATTCATATCATATCACCCACTCCCAAGGCTATGCCCCCCAGCCGCCTCCCCACCTTCCTGTCTTCTCTCTTGCATCTCTCGTCAACTACAGCACGCATTAAAGGGCTTTGAGCTATCACATGCAACAGTACAGAGCACAATTGCTGACTTTTGCTGACAATGGTGCAGTCACATATTACCCTCTGAAGCCTTTTTTCCCAAACCCCCTGTCTACAACTCTTGCCATCTACAGCCCGTGGCAGGGGGATTTGAGCTGGCGCATGCGACAGTGGAGGGGATAATAGCCACGCCACAGACGCTGGCAGCAGCAGCGAGGGACGGGCCGGCCATTCAGGACACACCCACGTACCAGCGCCTTGCTGCCCTGCGCCTGCTGCCAGGTGCGTCTTTGTCGCTTTGTTTGCCTGTGTTGAGATATTAGGCGCCGAAATAACCAGCCATTCAGGACACGCCCACGTACCAGCGCCTTGCTGCCCTGCGCCTGCTGCCAGGTGCGTTTTGAGTCTGTGCTCTCTGTGTGCACTGCCAGGTGAGCTTCCTCCCGTTTCCCCCAACTGCCCTCGTGCATGCACAAGTCGTCTCTTGTGCGAAACGCAACCTCTTTCCATCCTTCCTGCTCTCTCCCTCCCCGCTCCCCTCTTCTTCTCTCCCTCCCCGCTCCCCTCTTCTTCTCTCCCTCCCCGCTCCCCTCTTCTTCTCCTCCTCCACGCACCCCCATATCGCGCATGGGGCAGGCAGCGTAGCACGGCATGGCAGCATGAGCCCTGCTGCTGCAACCCTGCACAAGCAAGACCTTTCTTGAATCTTTGTTCCCCTGTATTCTTCCTGCCCTCTCCCTTCTCCTGTCCCCCCCCCACTCTCCCTCCAGCGCAATCGTCAGAGGCCATATCGCGCATGGGGCAGGCAGCACAGCACGGGAGCATGAGCCCTGCTGCTGCCGCGCTGCAGATGAGCGAGCTGAGCCACCGGGGGGAGATGGGCGCGGGCACGGGTGGGGTGTGAGGGACTAGGTGGGTGGTGAGTGGTTGGCTTGTATGTTTCCCGCGACTTTTGAGTCGAGTTGAAACTAAGCTCGTGTTTGTTTCCTGCGCTGCAGATGAGCGAGCTGAGCCACGGGGGGGAGATGGGCGCGGGCACAGGCACGGGTGGGGTGTGAGAGAGTGGGTGGGGCGTGAGCGAGGGATTGGCGTGAGGAGTGAGTGGTTGGATCGTGTGTTGTGTTCCGTATTGGTTGGGCTGCAGCTGTCTTTTGAGTCGACTCAAAAGAGGTGCCTTTTGAGTAGACTCACGAGTGGTTGGGTCGTGTGCTGTGTACCATATTGGTTGCGCTGCAGATGAGCGAGCTGAGCTATTGGGGGGAGATGGGCCCGGGCACGGGTGGGGTGTGGGTGTGTGAGTGGGTGCGGGAATGGTCGAGTGAGTGAGTACTTGAGTGGTCAGGAGGTGTGAGTGAGTGGAGAAGTTAGCGAATGTGGTGCCGCAACTGGGCTGCATGGGAGCAAGCTGCGGAGATGGGCAGATATGGGAGGCAGCGAATATGGGGGACCCACATTAAGATTCTGTTTGGTATGTTGTGTAAAGCCTGGAGTGCATGTGGGCGCCTGTTGGTCAGGTTGCCTAGTTAAAATCCCATGTGCTTGGTTTCCTGTCCCTTCGGCACTGAAGGTTGCACTGTTGTTGCCTTCATGTCCATCATTCCCTGTTTTGCTAGATGGAAGGTATGCGATGCGAGCCATTAGTTTGTAATTCTGTTACATTATCAGAAGTACACTAGTGCATGTACCGAGACTGTGTTGTGTTGAGAGTCTCTTGACTGGGATTAAGCGCCTAAGCAGCAAGACTTTATACACACACCACTCACAAGCTCAGCTGACCTCTCAATCCCGGAACCACGATCAGTGACACACAGTAAGCAAGTACCGTAACAAACCAAGCAGGCAGCAGGCGACAGGCTGGCGCACAGCAGACTAGAGGTAGCAAACGCCCCACATCCTCTCTCCACATCTCCAGAACAAGCCCTCATTTTCGCGCGCATCACATCCCTCGTGTGCCTTCTCCTTCTCAGTGTTTCTCTAGCCCGGAAACACCCAAGGAGCCCAGTGACGTGACAGCCTCAACCCTCCCTCACGCCTTGAGCTCCGCCAGAATCCCCTTGACAGCCTCAAACGACTGGATTGGATACTCCTCATGCGGCAACAGCACCCCCTCCACCCCTCCACTCCCGCCAAGTCCCTAAACCCCCAAAGCGACTCACTCACACCTTAAGCTCTGCCAGAATCCCCTTAACTGCCTCAGACGTCTGAATGGGATACTCCTCATGCGGCAGCAACGCCCCCTCCACCTCCACATACCCCGCCACTCCCGCCGCGCCCTTGGCAGCCTGCATCTCCGCCTTGCTCCTCCTGGGACACCCCTTACTCGCCACCACATACGCCCTCACGCCCTCCTCTTCCGCCCGAGCAAACAACCCCACGAATTCTTCCCGGGTTTTTACGCTGTCTAGGAGACCCGATACAAAGGAGGCGGGGGCGAAGCGGGCGCCCGGGCGGCGTGTGATGGAGGTGCGGGAGTCGAGGAGGGAGGGTGTGACGTTGTCGGCGTCGGCGTAGACGTGCGAGAGGTACTGCTGGCGCATGTTGCGCGGCGAGGTGAGGGCAAAGCGGTAGAGCGCCCAGCCCAGGCCTGGGGAACGCACGAGCGAGCGAAATATGGCGTAGCTAGTGGGGGAAGAAGGGGAGGGGAGGGGAGGGGGGGAGGGGGGGAGGGGAGGGAAATTGTGCTGGTGTGTTGTGACTGAACATGGTGGGCAGGGCAGAGAGTGAGTGAGCCCATGTGATCATCCCACCAAGGAAACTGGGACGTGTACCTCACATCCAGGCAGGAAGGAACTATCTGCACCCACCCACATGTGCCTCCAACTGCTCATCACACCACCGCCCTCCATGAACATCCCACCACCATCTCCCCCTCTCACCATGGGCGCATCTCAGTGTCCCCCTCTCAGTGTGCCCAAACACCATCGGTACTGCTAGCCACTGCATGGGTGCCACTGTTTGCAGAGCGGTACCAGAGTTCATACTTGTAGGCAGAGCAGAAGCCTTCAGCCCCCACGCACATGGTTCCCCATGCCTCACATGTCTCACATCACATGCCTCACATGTCTCACATCACATGCCTCACATGCCTCACATGCCTCACATGCCTCACATATCTCACCGTGGGCGCATCTTGTCAGTGTGTCCGAACACAATAGGCAGAGGCCCAGCCCACGTGGGTGCCACTGCCACCACCCCCTGCACGTCCACTCTTCCGCCCTGCGCTGCTGCTTTAAGCCGCCCGTCCGCCACGGCTTTCAGCGCTGCCACGGGGGCGTGCCCCGCTCCCACCAGCACCACTCTCCGCCCAGCGCCTGAGGGGCGAGGGGAGGGGGGAGGGAGGAGGGGGGAGGGGAAGGGACAGTGGGCGAGGGTGGGAGAGTGAGGAGAGAGGGGCGTGGGGAGGGGGAAAGGGGAAGTGAGAGGGGCAGGGCAGGCGGGGGGGAGGGCAGGTGGGGTTCCGCTGACATGTGATGTCCCGAAAGCCAGAGTGGATAGGGGAGCAGTGGAGGCGGGTGTTGAGTGCTTGACGCAAGGGGCGCAAATGAGTGTGGTAATAGGGACAGGAGGAGGAGGGATGGGAAGGAGGAGGAGGAGGAGGAGGAGGAGGAGGAGGAGGAGGAGGAGGAGGAGGAGGAGGAGGAGGATAAGTGAGTGAGAATCCCATCCAATGAGCATGTTAAGTCCAAATCCCCTGGCCTCCTTCGCTCCCTTCCTCCGTCCCTCCCTCGTTCTCCTCCCTCCCACTCTCCCCATCATCCTCGTGCGTGCACCCCCCCGACTCCTCAACAACTTCCCACCTACTCCTGCCAAGCTTCTCCCCACTCCTCACCACCATCTCCCACCACTCCTCACCGATGTAATTAACGAAGTCCACCAGAAAATCCTCCATAATAGCCGCCGTGTACTCAAGAGCCGGGCGCTCCGACTCGCCAAACCCAGGCCAATCCAGAGTCGCCACCTGGCGCCCTCCCTCCGCGGCGCTGGGCGGCGGCAGCGCTGCCACGTCGGACGCCACGTGGTCCCACTCGTCCACCGTGCTGACGTCGGAAAAGGACGGCAGGAAGAGGACGAGCGACTCGGGGGGGTCCGAGCCGGAGGTAGGGTAGACGACGTAGTTAATCTCTATGCTCGGCTGGCCGTTGGCGCGCTGCCACGTCCACGAGCGCTTCTCACGCGACTGAGTCGGAGCGAGAGCGAAGGAGAGAAGGGGCGGAGAGACAAGGGAGGGAGTTTGGATGGAGGGGGAGACAGCGACGGAAGGGTGTTGGTGCGAAGTAGTCAGTTTAATTGGTCCTGACGGGTTCTACAATGCTTAACGGCTGATCTTACAGGAGCGGTTCGCTGGAAGAGCTTTGGGGCGGCTTAGAAGTCAGACAGCGAAACGAATAGTACTTTAACGAGCGGTTTTCAGGACTCCAATGTGTTAAGGTCGATCTTAGACGGAAAGAATGTGTGCTTGCAAGCGCGAAAGCGCGAAAATGACGCCGAATAGGCCCCCGGTAAGAGAGAAATCACCGACCTTATTCGCGCCCTTCCCTTCCGATTGAGTGGCTGCCTCTGCAACTGAAGCCGCGACTCGCAGCCCTTGCTGCCCGTTGCGCCGCGGACGCGGAGCAGCCACCGCCACATTGAGCGCAGCGGACGCGAGGCTTTGTGATGACCACGACAGCGCGGAAGCTTGGGGAAGTTGGCGCGGGGAAGGCGATGGCGGAACGCTGCGCGTGCAAGTGCGCGGAGCATCCGCGGGCAGCGCGCGGGTCTGGGGGAGACCACGAGATGTGGAGTTCAGGGACGTCGCGGATGCGACCGGGAGGAGCGCTAGCGCAGCCATTAGTGCGAAAGGATGGTGGTGAGGAGCAGATGCGGGACGGATAACAAACAAGCGCACGGCAGAGCGAATGTTTTCGCAGATCACAGCAGAAGCAAAGATCGTTGAGCGCGGGTACGGAGGAGGAGAGGTGCTGGAATGACAGGAAGGTGTGTGTGGCAGGCGGATTTGGAATCCAAGATTCTGGAAGGGTGAGAAAGAAACGAACGAACTAGCGACAGGTAACACGTTGTCGTGAACTTCTTCCGAATTCAAGCCATGTTTGCGAGGCTGGGACGAAACGTTATCTTTTGAACAAATTCGTCGAGAAGGGTAACCAGACGGAGATACTTGATTGGATGTAACACCGTGGCGACCAAGGCGACAAACGGGAGGCGTGTTCGTACAAGGATCTCCACGTGGACGAATGCTCAGCTGAATCGTGGTTCGTCGTGGCTACTTTGACAAGGACCTGTATAGGCATACACCCCAATGAATAGTACACTGGAGCTCGTGACTGTCTCAATGCAGAATGAGAAATTAAAAAAAAATTAGCTAGCCAAGAAAGCGAATGAGAGCAAAATGGTGGCAATAGAGACTACAAGAAAAAAGAAAGCACAAAAAATCGCTTTGAACACTCCCCAAATTTTGTTGTGTGGAATTGGTTTAAACTATCTACTTGTACTAGAGGACCATGCTATTTTGTACCTGCTTTACAATCACATGTATTTTTCACTGCTTAACGCATAACGGAGACTGGAGTGGACTCGAAGCTGCACACAAATATCTCGGAAGCCAGATATTTATGCTTCCAATTATCTTCATTGAGGGTTGTCGCTGATTGGACTGACCTCTTTTTCCAAGATATCAGTAGCTCGTCCTGGGCGGTTCTCTAGAAAGGTCTGCCCTTTATGCGGGGAGCAATCTAGATATTCTCTTTTTGCATACATGCCACGTGTAAGGGACCTAATTTGACGTTGTCGCAATGAGTAATCGATGCACGTGACCAGTGACGCGGCTGTTCGGAAAAAAAAATCATGCTACGGAAGAACCTTCGATTCCATAGGATCCTCTAAACTGCCCTACTGATTGCACCCCATCCTGCACTTCTGCTTTCGGTCCAAGTAGAATGCAGCATTGCCTTATCCGTTAAAGATGGAAAGAAAGGAACAGAGAAATATATAATGTCTTCGATGAAGTATTTTATTCATGAAATGTTTTAGGAGCTTTCATGGGGTTAAAAGAGTATGTGCTTGATTTGTAGAAGCTTGGCAAGAGAAACAAATTAACGTAACCATTTCTTTGAGCTCCACATTCGTGGTGCCAGCCAAACTATTCGATGTCATCGATGAAGACAAAGATGTGAAATTCTCCCTAGATATTTAAATAGAGGAAGGACATTTCCGCAGCATTTCAACTGACGAGTTGGAACTTACAACTCTGCCCCACGGGATCTGTTTCCGCTACCTTCCTGTACCATTTTAAAGTCATATATTATACCATTAACTCTCGCACAACCGCGCTCTAATCCCTGCCAGCATGGACTTAGATATTTCCCCAGTCACACGCGAGCGAAATCCCGCATGTCTGCCGAAAAGCAATTCACGTGATATATTGTCGCAAGTACGTGGTTTCTTTCGTCGTTATCACGTCAGTGACGTCACTTTGTGCGCCATCTCCGCGTCGCGCTTTTCACAAATCTAATCATCTCAAACTATCTGCTGCAACCCCCTCTCTCCCTCCCAACCACCACCCCCATCCCCCCACCCAAGTCCCTTCCTCTTCCTCCCCCTCTCCCAAAACTGTCCCTCTCTTCCCTTCATCACCTCGCAAGCCTGGCAGCAAGTTGGCGCTGCCACCTATCACGCACATCCACATTTCCCTTCCCACTGCCACCGCAGCAGCCCGAGTTTTTCCCCGTTTCTCTCGTCGGGCGAAGTTTGTTCCTCCTGCTGCTGCCCTGTCAATGCCTCGGAACACAAACTGGCGGGTCGCGCGGCTTTGATGCGTCAGCAGCATTTGGTATTGGTCAGGCTGAATGCCCATAGAAAAAACGCGGCCTGCTCTTCTGGGTCTAGTCAGTGGTTAGTCCAGCCATGCGGCGAAACGAAACCGAAACGAAAATATCTAGCAGTGACGCGGCTCCCATCCCTCTTGCTCGCATCGCAATGCCCCACAACCACAGATAATTGGTGAATGTTTGGTTGCGTTCAAAGCCAGACTTGTGAAGGCGCGCATATTCATTCCCTCTATTTTCGTGCGAGTCTCTTTCTGTTCCATTGCATGATCTCGTACTTTCCCTGACTTGAACGAACGAATTAGAGGCGCCTGATAGATTGTTTCTAAACGAAGATCGTCGTAGCAGTCTGAGCCAGTCTTGTGTGCCTCTCGCTATCGTCGAATCGCGAGCGAGAGAGCCAGTCTCTGCAGCGAGAAAACAAGCCTCATTAGCGTCGGCCCAAAGGCCCATACAAGCGTCGTTTTCCCAATCGTCGTTTCCGAAACGAGATTCAAGCCTAGAAAGAGAGTCATCAGCACATCTTCAAACTCTGCTTCAGAGTCGATTTGTCTTTTGTTTTCGTTTTTTTTTTTTTTTTTTTTTCTGTGAAAGAAAGCGCCAGCCCAGCACGACTCGAAATCACCCTTCCGCGATGCTCCGACTATCATCACCCCCAGGCCGCGGTAGTGCTGATATTGCAACGGTCACCGGCGCTTGCGGTCCGGTTCATCCGCAAGCGACGGCAGCGGATAAGACGGGGATGGGGCGCGGTGCGCTGGAGAGGCCGTCGGGAAAGCGGCGGCTCGACCAACAACAGGCGCAGCTGCCGCAGCTGCACCAGCAGCAGCCGCAGACGCGGACCCAGGCGCAGACGCAGCAGCGGAGAGATCAAAGCTACGCGGGGGAAGCGGGAACCGCCACCGGTACGGGCACGGACGCGCGCGGGGGCGCCGGAGGGGGCGCAGATGCTTGCGCGGAGAGGATCGTGGATGCGGAAGCGGGTGCGGCTTTAACAGGCCCGGGCCGTTTCGTTTGGACGACCTGTTGGACCGAGGAAGCTCACAAGAACTTTCTCGACCTTATCGAAGCGGACTTCGTTCGGCGAATGTATTCCCGGCAGTACTGCCACGCCGATATTTGCGGCGTGAATGACGCCGGGGCCTGCGGCGGCGGCAGCGGCGGCGGCGGCGGAGAATGTCATGTGGCGCAGAAACCGCGCGGCGGAGGAGGAGCAATAGGCGGCGGAAGCAGCGGCGGCGGAAGCAGCCGCGCGGCTGTAGCCGCGCCTTTCCAAGCGGCGCAGAGGTCTCAGACAAGTCAAAGCGGCGGCGGCGGTGGCAGCGGCGGCGGCTGCGGCGGCGGAGGCGGCGCGGGATGGCCCGTGGCGTCGTGCGCCGGGGTGGGAAGCAAACGACGGCGGCAAGGCGAGGAATGTTCACCGAGCCGGCGGGTGGCTACAGCCGACGCAGGCGACGTAGGCGCTACAGCCGCCACAGACGCTACAGTTGCTACAGCCGCTACAGCTGCTAGAGTCAGCACCAGTGGCGCTGCTGGCTCGGCGGATGTGACGATGAGTGCCGCCTGTAGCAGCAGCGCATCAGGCACCTGTGCTACCGGCAGTAGCGAGGCTGACAATAGCGGAGATGGCTTATCCGACGATGCCACTGGTGGCAGGAGCAGCGGTGACTGGGGCTGCGATAGTGAGGACTTCACGGCGGTTCTACGGGGGTATGGCGAGGAGGGAGAGGAGAATGCGAGCAGTTGTGATAGCGTGTGTGGGGGAGGGGAGGAGGTGGCGCAGCGAGTGCGCGTGTCTGGTCTTACTGCGGCGGTGCCTGCTCCTCCTGCTGCTGCCGCTGCCGCTGCCGCTGCCGTCGCCGCACCTGCTGCTGGTAATGCCAGGCGTGCTGCGTTTGGGGATGCAGCACCGGGAGAAGAATCAGAGGAGGCGATGGGCGAAGGAATGGGCGAAAGTGACGAAGGCTTAGGCGAATGCAGAGTAGAGAGAGCCGAGGAAACTGCACCAGCAGCACAAATGTTGTGCCGACCAAATGTGCTTCCCTTCGCTGCTGTCGTGCCTACTACACTTCCTGCTGTGCTCCTTCCGCCCTCTGCGCTTCTTGCGCCCCTTGCGCCCCACGCGCCCTCCGCGCCCTCCGCACCCTGCTGTCACTGCCTGCTGCCTGCCGCGCCTCTCACTGCCTATCATCCTGCTGCTTCTCCCTGCAGCTTGATCCCTGCCTTCCCCTCCTCCCTTTCTGCTTCCATGTCTGTTACCCCTCTGGTATCTGTCTCCGCTGTAATGGCACCCGCTTCTGCTGCTGCGGCTTCTGCTCCTGCTCCTGCTCCTTCTCCTTCTCCACCCTCTCTGCTTGCGCCTCTTCCTCTCTTCCCTACCCATGTACCCTTTCAAAATCCATGGATCCGTCGCTTCAACCACTACCAGCAAACGCCACCTGCATCGCTAGTAAGAAACGCAGCAGCGACAGCACCATCACTGCCAGCACCAGCACCAGCAGCAGCAGCAGCTCCTGCTGCTCGTTTCCGAAGTGTTCTTTCCCAGGACTCTTGCTACCCATTCCTGGCACCACTTGAGGCGGAAGCAGGACGCGTTGCTGCTGCTTCTGTGGCGGCGGCAGCAGCAGCAGCAGCAGCAGCAACAGCAGCCAAGACAGCAAAAGCAGCACCAGCCAAGACAGCAGCAGCTGCAGCACAGAAGGATGGGGTGAGCACCACTTGCACCTTCCACACTCCTTTCGGCATCGGACCTGACAGTCTCCATATAGGAGCACTCACTACTATCACCAACATTGGCCACCGCCTAGCTGGCAGCTCCTTTGACTCTACCTGTTGATTTAAATTCCATTTCCGCTGGTTTTACAGTTACACGGTTACACATTTACAGAGTTACACTTGCTGTGGTGCTGCTGCTGATCCTCATCATTATGTTCTTGGTGATCGGATGGTTGGTCGGTAGTGGATCGTGCTGTCTTCTTGAGGTGCTATGCTACGGTAGTTCTAGGAATTTTTGAGAAGGGATGGCGGTTGATTGTTTTGGTGGCCACGCGCTCTAAAATGGAATAGAGTGGGGGGACTAGGATGGGATGGGTTAGAACTAATACTGTATTATGTATACCACACACTTAGTGGGCTTACCAAAGGCACTGTAGCTGGACTGTAGGATGTGTGTCTACAGTGTGTGACTGCGTACCCTGCCCTTGTCACCTCAGGGATGTTACCGGTATTTCTGACGGGGGCCGGGGGGTGTTGGCACCTTTTTGGGCTATCGTAGCTGTTTAGATACTATGCAGTTATGATAGCAGTAGGCTTAGGAGCCATAGTTTTAGAGGCCAGTAGCTAGGGCTTCGGGTTTCTGAAAGAGAATTGAAGAAGGAAGGGGTTTTGGACTAGGAGCAGCAGGATGCAAATAGGAAACCCTAATGGGCTGTACTCGCTATAGAGTACCCCATTGCAGGCTAGACAAACATAACATTCTGACACACCCCCATAGCCAAAGTGGGGTGTAATCAGCACAATTAACAGGCAGAGCAATAGTTCACAATTATAAGCAAAGCTAGAGGCTATCACAGAGGGCAAGTGAGGAGGAGGAGAGACTGTGAGGGCGAGAAGATGAAAGGCGCCGACTGAAGCTGCAGACACACGGGCAACAGGAGCGGCGCGCACAGTGGCTACCGAGCGCACGAGGGCACCGGACTACGGGAGTATCTGGCTCCGCGGCTACGACGAGCACACACAGGAGCAACGGACCCACAGGCGACTGGCGAAGCAGGCTCGCTGGGCTACCGAGAGCACGACGGCTCCGGACTACAGGCGCTGCTGACGTCACGACGACTACCTCCACACAACCTCCCCCAACTGTCCCACACCCCTTTCACACACCCCCTGCTGAACCCCTGGCTCCAATCACACTCCACCGCCCAAGCACCACTCCGAAGGCTCCCACACATCCACCCCCCTCAGCAGCAGCTGTAGCAGTGGGAGACAGAGGAGGAGGGGGAGCCGGGAACGGGTCACACACCCATCACCCCACACTCGCCACCCCCAAACCCTAACACAGGCAGCAGCGGGGGGGGGGGGGCGGTGCGCGGGCAGCAGCTCGAGAGAGGGCGGCTCCCCAGGGCGTTTCGGCGGGCGACGGGAGGGGCTGACGCGCAACCCCCCAGGGCGCCACGACGGGCGAGGGGAGGGGGCTGCGCGCGGGCCCCCAAGGCGCCGCGACGAGGCGACGGGAGGGGCTGACGCGCGGCCCCCAGGGCGCCACGACGGGCGACGGAAGGGGGGCTGCGCGCGGGCCCCCAGGGCGCCGCGACGGGCATGGGAAGGGGGGGGGGAACGGCGCGCGGGCCCCTGGGGTGCCGCAACGGGCGACGGGCAGGGGGGAACGGCGCGCGGGCCCCTGGGGTGCCGCGACAGGCGACGGGCAGGGCAGCGCGCGGGCCCCCAGGGGCGCCGCGACGGGTGACGGGTGACGGGCAGGAAACCGCCACGCGCCCCGAGCACGTAGCGGACAGAAAACCGCCGCGCGCCCCGAGCGCGCGGCGGGAAGAAAAAACAATGTCACGCGCCACGGGGCGCGCGACAGGCAGTACAGCAGCAGCGGAAGCATACGGGCCCACAGGCCAGGAGCTAAGTAGCTCTAATACCATGTTTAGATACTATGCAGTTATGATAGCAGTAGGCTTAGGAGCCATAGGCTTAGAGGCCAGTAGCTAGGGCTTAGGGTTTCTGAAAGAGAATTGAAGAAGGGGTTTGGGACTAGGAGCAGCAGGATACAAATAGGAAACCCTAATGGGCTGTACTCGCTATAGAGTACCCCACTGCAGGCTAGACAAACATAACATTCTGACAGTAGCTAGCACCTTTTTGTCAAAGCTGATGAAAAATGGTCATGTGTGTTCCTTGTTCAGTGTGTACATTATACACATATTTTCATATTGCTGAACGTCGTGACTCCTTTAGTCTTTGCCGTGCAGCTCATTTCGAGGCTTTCGCCCATGGAAACAGAATCCTTCTGTATTGAGCCGACTGCAATCAAAGCCTCTCATCTGTACTCTCCCCCTGTTTCCCTGTTCTAAATTTCCCATCACCTCCATGCTACCGTTTGAGCTGTAGTGAAGTGTAGGCACCACTCACTGTAACACAACAAAGATTTAAACCTGTGTTCCGTAGTTTCAAGATCCCATCTACATCCCATGGATAACTCTGAAGGCAAATCTATTCCGCCCGCTAGCCTCTCTCGACAGGAAAACCCATTGGTCTGGCAATGGTCAATCAAACAATGCATCATAATTTCATCTAGAGTTCAGTCCACCTCCAACACAACATGTCCTTTTAGCAGGCGCTGCGCTGCACTGCACCGCACTTGCATGGTTCTATCCCGAATTCCCTCCCCAGTTACCGGTAAATGGAGTGCCGTGTGGCGCACTGCACTGCAGGGTAGGTAGTAACTACTGATTCACAACGCACAACTCATGACTCACACACTATCCACGAGAGTTCTGACTTTCAGACCTCCCTTCCCTACCCTCATTGTCACTCCACCTTTCTCCTCACTCCACCATCTCCTCCACTACTGCATCTCCACCCCCCAAACCCTGAACCTGCCTTCCATACACCAATGCAACCCCTCCGACTCCTCCCCCTCCTGCTCCTCGCCCTCCCGCTCCTCCCCCTCCCCTCCCCCCCCCCCCTACTCCATGGTCCCTCCCCAGCTTCAGAGCAGACAACATGGCCTCCCCAACAGCAGAAAACCCTCTCACCGTTCTCAAAACCTCTTCAACCGTTCCAGCCTCATCCAACCGTGCTTCCTCGCCCCACTCCGCCCCTTCCCCTGCCCAGTTCCCATATCCTGCTGACTGGCCCAGCAGCGGCAACACCGCCTCAAAACTTTCAACCTGCCCGGGTTTACCATGCAGCGGGTGGGCTTCGGCAGAAGCAAACGGGCGCCGCGACGGGAGGAAAGCAGAGTGAGATGAGGCAGACGGAGAAGCAGAGGCGGAGGAGGAGGAAGGGAGGGTATAATCGGAATAGGGAACGTGGCGATTGTTGTAAAGTAGCTGCGCTGCAATGCAGAGCACAGAGCTGCGAAGCGCTGAAACAAACTGGGCGTCTGTCCATCCCTCGTCCTCGCTCCTCTGCCTCATCTCCACCCAATCGTCCGCCTCTGCTGCTGCAACCCACGCGCGCTTCAGCACTCGGACCGCCTCCTTCCGCTGCTTCCGCTGCCATTTCACCGACTCAAAATTCACACCAGAACCAGCACCACCATTACCACCACCACTGCCACCACTGGCGCTACCAGCAGCAGCAGCCTCCGCAGGAGCAGCAGAATCCGAAGCTAGTCCGGTGATGAGATCCAAAGGGGGAGGCGGGTGGAGGAAGGGCGAGGGGCCGACAAGAGCAAAGACTTCAAAGGAGAGGAGGAGAAGCGGGCGTGGGCCTGGGAGCAGTGCTGCTGCGAGCTCCAATGCGCCTATGGGTCCTGGCCCTGCTAGCCCCTCTGACATAGCTGCTTCCTGGAGGATCAAAGGGGATGCATGGATGTGCCATGTGCCATGTGCCATGTGCCATGTGCCATGTGCCATGTGCAAGGAGGAGGGCGACAGGGAGGCGGGAGAGTGTGAGCAGTGCTGCTGCGAGCTCCAAGGCTCCTACGGGGCCTGGCCCTGCTAGCCCCTCCAACATTGCTGCTTCCTGCAGGGAACAAAGGGGATGAAAGAATATGCCGCACGTTGTGTTGTGTGCCGGGCAGATTGTGCAATGAGCATGGATGGCAGGGAACGGGGCAGAGTCTGGGGAGGGGGAAGAGTGAGAGAGCAATCATACCCAGGCGCGTACCGAGCCCCACGAGACAAGCTGGTTTTGCTTGCTAGCCGCATTCAGGGGACTTTTTTTCAACAGACATGGTCGTATTCGTAGCAAAAGAGAGCTGCGCCCTAACCCCCAGAGCCATATTCTCACCCTGAAGCTGTGCCAAAAGCGATTGTGAGCTACATGTGAGATACACAAACACAGAAAGCATGAGCGAGGATGTCTGATCTGGTTCTCTAATACGAGTTGGTTTTTGAGAATTCTCAAAAGCCTGGGCCTGGACTCGCCCACTGCATAGGAGGAAACTGTGTGAGAGCACACACTCGCTTAGTCTAACCTCCTACTCGCACACACTCCGTCGAGCACACCCCATTTTACACCCTCACTTTTCTTACACACACTCTCACACTCTTACTCTCACTCTTTTGCCCGCTCTCATTCTCACTCCCACACTCTTCTCGCTCTCATTCCTGCCCTCTCGACAGCACGTCACCTGAATCTCCAGCAGCCGCAGTTCAATGTCAGCAGACAGGACAGTGGCTCGCGATGTGAGGGCCGACGGGTCTGGGCAGATGGGGAGAGAAGGCAAGGGCACGCACAGTGAAACTTCTAAATCAGTCTGGCCCGGTCCGGTCCGGTCCAGTCCGGTCCGGTGGTCAGAAGGAAACGGAGAAAATGGAAGCGGACGAGGAAGAGGAGACAGAGCAAGGAGGGAAGCCAAGAGCAAGGCAGAGCAAACATGCAAGGCAAGCAAGCATCTGCGGTGGGTTTCTTACCTGAAGCACCAGCCAGGAAGGAGAGCTTCGCAAGCTGTAACAGCTTCTTCCTCCTCCTCAGGACACTCAGACCCATAGCAGCAACCCCCCCTTCCATCCCTTCCATCCCTTCCATCCCCTCTTCCCCTCCCTGCTCCTTTCCCCCACTTCTCCCCTGCCTCTTCCCGGCTTTCCCCTGCTTCCTCTGTCGCTGGGCTTCTTGCTCCATCATGGATTGGGCCGCTGGGAAGGAGGACGCGAGCGCATGCAGGGTAGAAGCGGCCTTGGGGAAGTTACCCAGAAGAATGTCGTGTAGCCACTGCAGGTGCTTGTGGTCCTGTGAAGGGACCGGGGGGGGGGGGGGAGGGCGAGGAGAGAGGGAAGAGAGAAGGAAAGAATGGGGTGGGAGGAGAATGGGGAAGGCGAAACGGGAGGTGGGGGAAAACATGGGTGACGATGGTAAAGAGGAGGCACGAGGCAACGACAAGACCTGGGTTGAGACAGAAAAGCGCGCGGATTGAGCATGGAAGGGAGGAGGATAAGATACATTATACACCCATCACCCAACCACTTTTGAGAATTCTCAAAAGTGATTTCAATATAGCACCACACCTCCTGATCGCACATGCCCTCCCAATCCCAACCCACATCTTCCGTTCCCACCCGCTCAGTGCTGACCTCGAGTAACGACTATAGCTTGCTACTCCAGAGAAAGCGGGGGGAAAGCCAAAGCGCATCGTACCACTCTCACCCGCACCGCACAACCCAACAATCAAACCAGCAGAAAAAGACGCGCAGGCAGACTAGGGGGCAAACCAGCTTCCATTCTTTTCACCTCGAGGAAGAACTCGAGCTCGGTGGGGAATGCAGGGCCAAAGCGCAGCATGCCGGCAGCGTCCCCCGCTGCTGTGAACTGCGAGAAGACAAAGAAGGTGAATCGCCCCTCGGGACCCGATGGGATGTCCCTCTGGTGGTGTGAGGGGAGGGTGGAGAGAAAGAGGGAGGGGGACGAAGAGTAGATCGATTTAACAATGCAACTAGTTCTTTCAAAGAAGACACCCTAAACCCAAGCAAGCAGCCCCAAGCAACCCCAAGCAGCCTCACAGAGCGACAAAGGATCCCCACCCCCAAACACCCCTGAACAGCACATCATGAGTGCTTCGAGCAGGGAGACGTCCTGCAGTGGTATCGGTGGTATCGGCAGACGTAGAAGCGCATGGCATAGCTGCAGTGCTGCCTCGACCCCCACGCATCCCTGCGCACCCCTGAGCACCCCTGAGCACCCCTGAGCACCCCTGAGCAACCCCGAGCACCCCCACGCATCCCCAAACCTTCTCACCATGAGTGCTTCGAGCAATGCAACGTCCTGCGGGTAGCGGCAGACGTAGAAGCGCGTGGCATAGCTGCAGTGCTGCCTCGACCCCCAAACATCCCTGAGCACCCCTGAGAACAACTGAGCACACCTGAGCACCCCCACGCATCCCCAAACATGCCCACCATGAGTGCTTCCAGCAGCGACACATCCTGCAAGTAGCGGCAGACGTGGAAGAGCGTGGCATCCCCCACGCATCCATGAGCACCCCTGAGCACCCCTGAGCACCCCTGAGAACAACTGAGCACACCTGAGCACCCCCACGCATCCCCAAACATGCTCACCATGAGTGCTTCCAGCAGCGACACATCCTGCAGGTAGCGGCAGACGTGGAAGAGCGTGGCATAGCTGCAGTGCTGCCGTGCCAGGGCGAATGGTGCTGCTAGTGCGGCTCGCAGCGAGGCCGCGGGGTCCTGCGGTGGGGTGAGGTGGGGTGGGGTGGGGTTGTTGGTGGGAGGGGAATGGGGAATGGGGAATGGGGAATGGGGAATGGGGAATGGGGAATGGGGAATGGGGAGTGGGGAATGGGGAATGGGGAGTGGGGAATGGGGAATGAAGCGGGGGAGAAGAGAAGGATGGATGATGTTCGGGGGAGGGGCGGGTGGGGCCGAGGGGGTTTGGCAGTGGGGCCAGGGAGAAGAGAAGCATGTGAGGAATGCAGCATGCAAAACCAAAACCGGATCACGAGAGCCTGCGCAACCAGAACACAGGTAACCAGAAGCAACCAAACCAGACCCGACAAAAACAGACCGACCCCACACAACCATCCTGCACGTACCCTTGCTTCCAGCATATGAACGCGGTGACTTTTGAGTCGACTCAAAAGTCACCTCGACAGACCGACCCCACACAACCATTCTGCACGTACCCTTGCTTCCAGCATATGAACGCGGTGACTTTTGAGTCGACTCAAAAGTCACCTCGACAGACCGACCCCACACAACCATCCTGCACGTACCCTTGCTTCCAGCATATGAACGCGGTGACTTTTGAGTCGACTCAAAAGTCACCTCGACAGACCGACCCCACACTACCATCCTGCACGTACCCTTGCTTCCAGCATATGAACGCGGTGACTTTTGAGTCGACTCAAAAGTCACCTCGACAGACCGACCCCACACTACCATCCTGCACGTACCCTTGCTTCCAGCATATGAACGCTCCCAGGAAATGGATGCAGCACGAGATCTCCCACAACAAGACCCCCCAACAGCCAGACCACACTTACATCTGACGCCTCTGCTGCTGCAATCGCCCGCTGCACGAGCACAGAGAGCAGAAAGTCCCGCTTCCAGAAGAATTCCCTCTCTAGCGCCTGCCGCTCCTGCTGCTCCTGCTCGCCCTCCTGCTCGCCCCTGGCCGCCACGTCCCTGGCCTCCAATGCAGTGGCGAAGGCGGAGAGGAGGAGGGAGGAGAGGGAGAGCGAGAGGCGGTGCAGGAGGGAGGACTGCTCCTCGTCCCATGCTGCTGTGGCCCTGCTTGAAGGTGGGGGGAGGAGGGGAGGGGGAAGGGGAAGGGGGAGGGGAAGGGGATGGAGGAAGGGGAAGGGGAGGGGGAGGAAGAGGGGATGGGAAAGTGCTGAATCTGGGGTGTGCAAGCGTGTGGGTGTGAAAATTCATTCATTCAGGCGAGGCGAGGCGAGGCGAGGTGAGGTGAGGTGAGGTGAGGTGAGGTGAGGTGAGGTGAGGTGAGGTGAGGTGAGGTGAGGTGAGGTGAGGGACGGTGACATAACTCACTCGAGCTGAATAAGCGTAGCCAGGAGCGACCACAGAGCAGCCCTAACAGCAGCACTGCACGCCCACGGTTCCCACCTCTCCACCCATCGCCACACATCCCCTTCTCCTCCTCTCACTCCTCCTCCTCCTCCGCCTGCTCCTCTCGCTCCTCCCCCTGCTCTCCGTTTTCTCCCTCGCCCCTTCCCCCTGCGCACTGCCCCTAGGTCCGACCCAGCTAGCCGCCCCACGTCCGGGTACCACCGAGCCTTGTCGGTTCGGTACCGATCCGCCGCCCCGAGGCTGCCCACTGCTGCTTCGACAAGCGTGGCCGCTCGGGCTAGGTGCCTGCGCGCTGCTGCTGCGGCTGTGGCGGATGCAGATGGGCCTAGGCCTGTAGCAGCAGGAGTTGTAGCAGCTGTAGCGGGTGTCACGGCTGTAGCAGCTGTAGCAGCAGGAGTAGAAAAGAGCGAGGGAGTGGGCAATTGAGAGGCAGAAGGGAAGATAGGTGTTCCAGGGGCAGGGGTAGTCAAATATGCAGGCACAAAAGGGGAAGCTGCTGCTGCTGCTGCTGCTGCTGCTACTCCTGCTGCTCCTCCTGCTGCTCCTGCTTCATCAGCACTGGTTCTAACGCCCTCCTGACCGTCTTGAAGCTTTCCTGGTGTGAACAGAGCCGCATGCTTGCCGGCCCGTGCCACACCATCAAAACCAGGAGTGGCGGCAGTGGCCGCAGCGGCGGCAGCAGCAGCAGCAGCAGCAGCGAGTACCCGCAACCCACGCCTCTTCCTTTCTCCCTCTCTCCACCGCACCAGCCGCGTCGGAAAACGCAGCAGCCAGCGCCGAGAAAAACTCCGGTCCAGCTTCAGACACGCGGGCGAAGAACACCTGGCTGCGATCCCTCTCCAACAGAAACACACTCCCTCTCCGGATCCTATCCCCTGCGTCCTGCACTGCTCGCCAGAGGGACGTTGCTGCCACCTCTGCTGCCTCCCTCTCTCTTTCAATCCGTGCATCCTCCTCTGATTCCTCGTACCTTTCCGCTGCTCGTGCAGCTCTGGGTGCTGGGGACCGCAGGTAAGGGGAGGTGAACGGGGAGGGGGAACTCTGCTTCTGCCTCTGCTGCTGCTGCAGCTGCTGTTGCAGGTTAGAGGCGGTGGCAGCAAGCGAGGAGTGCAGGGTCCTGAGATGGGCCACAGATGCCAGCCGCTCTCCATGCTCCAGGATCAGTTGCAGGGCCAGGGCTGAGAGTGGGAGGGCAGAAGGGGAGGAATACGGAAAGGGGAATGAGCCAGGAGTGCAGTGTCCTGAGACGGCAACCTCTCTCCATGCTCCAGGATCAGTTGCAGGGCCAGGGCTGTGAGAAGGTGGGCAGAAGGGAACACGGAAAGGGACGGGTTGGGGAATGAGCCAGGAGTGCAGTGCAGGGTTTTGAGATGAGCCACAGATGGCAGCCTCTCTCCATGCTCCAGAATCAGTCGCAGGGCCAGGGCGGTGAGAGGGTAGGCGGAAAGAGGACAATGGAAGTGGGTTGGGGAGAAAAGGGAGATGAAGGACGAGGGGAACGGGGCAGGAAGAGGGAGAGACAGATATGCGAGCCACAGATGCTAGCCTCTCTCCATGCTACAGAATCAGTTGCAAGACTTACGTTGCCTGACCGTGAGCTCCTGCTGTGTGCCTGAACCTGCAGGAACTCAAAAGAGTGATCGCGAGCTGCCACTGCTGATGAGAATTCTCAACACTGTTTCTTAGAACGCATTTTCACAACTGAACCAGCGCCACAAGTCACGAGTCACAGAACTTACGTTGCCTCACTGCGAGCTCCTGCTGTGCGCCCGACACCTGCAGGAACTCCAGAAACCGATCGTGCTGCCACTGCTTCACCCCAAGTTTCCCAGACGACGAGAACCCTCCCCCTCCCGACCCCCCTTCACGCACTGCCCCCAGTCCCCTGTCTTCTCCCCGCCCCGTACCCCCGCCACCGCCAGGGGTAGAACCAGTGGTGGTGAGGGGGGGATCGTCGGCTCCCCAGTGTTTTGTGAGAGCATCGATGATAGAGAGACTACAGCGCACAAAGGGAGAGGCTTCGCCCTCTGCCTCGAACGTCCCTGCTTGCAGCAATCTCTGGAGAATCACCGACCCAGACTCGCCTCCTGTAACTCCTCCCCCTCCCCCTCCGCCTCCTACCCCGCCTCCTCCTCCGCCTCCCGTTCCTGCGATGCCAGTTGCTCCAGCATCCGCTGCAGCAGCAATGCTAGCCTCTATCCCGCCTGCTCCTGCAGCAGCAGCAGACAGAAACTCGTCAAAGAGACTACCCACTAGCACTGCCGGCCCGCCCTCCTCCCACGCCTCCTCCTCCTCTTCCTCCTCCTCTTCCTCCTCCTCTTCCTCCTTCGCCTCCCTCTCCCCTCCCGCCTTCCCCCTGCCCTCTCCCCCGCCTGCACGTCCATACCTCTCCTTCCCTCCTCCATTCCTGCTTCCTCCGCCCCTTCTTGCGCCCACGCCATGCCTTGGCCTCCCCCCTCCCCACCACCAGCGCCCCGCACCCGCCCATCTTCTTCCAAACGAGTCAAATCCACGCCACTCCCCCCTCCGCCTTCACGTATCTCCCCTGGTCGAGACCCCAACTCCACCCGCCCTTCCGCCACAGCCACTGGTAACGCACACACCCCCCTCTCTCCATCAGCAACACCCAATCCCCCTCCTGCTGCTCCTTCTGCCGCTTTCCCCTTACCTTCACCTCCACTCCTCCGCCCTCCCCCGCCTCTCCCTCCTCCCCATCCTCCATCTCCTCTCCCTCTTCCTCCTCCCAATCCCCTCTACCCCTCCTGAACACCCCAGCAGCCAAAACCCGCCCCATAACCCCCATAGGATCAACTTGAAACAGCTGCTTCTGCACCACACCCGGCCCACTCCCCTGCACATTCCCCTGTCCGCGCCCCTCCCCATGCGCCGCCCCATGCCCCTCCTGCCTCCCCCTCGCGCCGTCCTGCAGACGCACCAGCGTGGCAGCTCCATCACCGGAGAGAATCAGCACAGAGCCTTTCGGCCGGCCCCCTAGACGCAGGGAGAGCGCGCACATAGCCTCTTCCTCCTCCACCTTCGCCCGAGGCACCACCAGCAGAGGCAGCTGCTTCAACTTCAGCCGAAAACCCTGTACTGACTCTGCTCCTCCTCCTTCTCCTGCTGATGCTCCTGCCTCTGCTGCTGCTCCGTTCCCTGCTGCTGAAGACTGGAGCATCTGAGGCGCTGAGATGATAGACGGAGTGTTGCCAGGGGCAGCAAACGCAGTGGAAGGCGGGGGTTCGCACAGGGGCCGAGGGTTGCACGGCAGGCAGTGGGCAGGCGCGGATGAAGGCACGATGCCGAATCTAAGCAGCCAGTACTGCATGAAGCAGCTTCCGAAGCCCACGCTCCTGTCTTTCACCAGAACAGCTGCTAGCACCACCACATCTACTCCGCTCTCTCCTCCTCCTCCCCTCCCTCCCTTCCCCTCCTCCCCTTTCTCCTCGTCCTCCGCCTTTTCCCCCCTCCCATCCCCTAAGCCATCCTGCTGCTGCTGCTGCTGCTGCTTCTCTTCCTTCTTCCCCGCTCCAGCCCCCTCTCCCCCCATCCTTTCCGCGCGTGCCTTAGCAGCCATTCTCCGGGTCATCACCCCCCCAGGAGTCTCCGCCCCTCTGCTCTCCCCTGTCCCTCTCTGCCTCCCACCCTTCCCCTGCGCCGGAAACGGGGTAGGGGGCTGACTGGGGGAAGGGGACGGAGGAGGAAGAGGAGCGGGGGCGAGAGAGGAATGCGACTGAGGGAGAGAGAACGAGACTGTCGCCTCTGTTGCCACCTGAACGTCTAGAAGCCACGTGCGCTTCTGGCCAATCAGAGCCCTCTGCACGTCGGGGTCCGAGAGCAGATCAACGGCCCAGATCAGCCGGCCCTTCCCTCCTGCTTCCTGGGAGATCTGCCAGAGCTCTAACCCTATAGCAGTTAGCAGCAGCACGTCAAAACTCTTAGCAGTTTCACTGCCCCCATCCCTGCCTTCTCCTGCACCTGTGTCTGTGTCTGTATCCATTCCCTCCCCCTCCTCATGCTGCTGCGCCTCCCCCTTCCCCACCACCTTAGACAGCCGTTTCGACCTCCTAACAGCACCACCCATATCACTCCCAGCACCCTTACCCTCACCATCACCAGCCGCACCACCACCAGCACCACCAGCATCACCACCCGTCCCCGATCGCCCTCTCGTCCCTCTGCCATTCTCTCCCCCAGAACCCCTTCCGTCTCTCCCTCTTCCCCTCACCACTGGCACCACCGACAGCGACTGTACTGCTGCCACGCTGGCGCCCCCTGCCTGCGCGCCCCTGTCCAGGCGAGAGAAAGCTATGGGAGCGGTAGCAGAGGAGGAAGTAGACGCAGTAGGGACAGTAAGAGCAGTGGGAGCGGTGGGAGCGGTGGGAAGAGAAGACGAGGTGCATTCCACGCGCCAAAGATCGCCGCTGCTGCACCCCAGAACTGCAACACACTCTACAACTGCCTGCCCCTGCCCCTGCTGCTGCTGCTGCTGCTGCTGCTGCTGCTCTTGCCCTCGTAGTTCACCTTCTCCACCCCTCCCTGCCGCAAGCCTCCCACTGCGCTTACCCCCCGCCCCTCCCACCAAGGCCAAGCTCGTAATCACGTCCTTACCTCTCCCGGATGACCCAAAGCCCCCAGCCTTTCTCCCCACGTGTCCCATCCCCCACCCTTCCGGCGCCTTGCCTATAATCGGCTCAAGAGGAGCAACCGCACTACCACTGCCAGTGCCACTACCTTTGCCACCAGCAGAAGTGGCAGCAGTGGCAGCAGCAGCAGCAGCGGCATGTGGCAGGAGAAAGGACGTTGGGCCAGTACGCAACGAGCATGGCGCGGCGGCTGCAAGCAACCACACGCAACGCAGCCAGCTTAGGAAAGGACTGAGCAGCAGCAGCAGCAGCAACAGAAGAAGAACCCTCCTTCCTGCCGCTGCTTTGCTTATCACCCGCACCAGCATCAACAGCCATACTCATTGCCACATCCCTGCTCTTGCCCCAATCCCCCTCAGCATCCTCCTCCTCCTCCTCCTCCCCCTCCCCCTCCCCATCCCCCTCCCCCACCCCTTCCGCCTTCCCTCTCGCAGCAAAAACAGGCACAAGACCGACCAGCCACGTATGCCCTTCAGTACCCCTCACCCTCCCTCCTCCACCGCTCCCCACCCCACCACCACCAACGAAATCAGCGCCGCCGGGAAGGGCGGAGCGGGGGAGGTTGAGAACGAGGCAGCAGGAAGGGACGCGGGCAGAGACGTAGCTCCAGAGGAAGAGGCGGTGAGAAATCTGCACCCACGCGTAGCCTGACGCTGGATCAAGGCTGGCGCGAGGGGCGGAGAAGGACGCTGGGAGGGCGGAGAGTGGTGGAGTGCGGTGCGGTGGGAAGTGGGGTGTGGGCAACGGGGGAGAAGGGGAAAGGAGCGGGAGGTTGGGCTGCTGTGTGAGCGAATGGGAGAGAGAAAGGAAGCGATTGAGAGAAACGGGGACGATGGGTATGCGGATAAACCCCAGCAGCATACAGCCACTGTGGCAGAGCAAATACAACAGACATAAGAGATATAATGCGCAAGTGCTCACCTGCATCGTGTGAGCGAACGGCCTCCTCGTGAGCCGCCACTACTTCCGCAGGCAAATCGCACACCACCACAGGCTCTCCGCCCTCGCCGGCCCCCCCGATCCCATGAAACGCGGCCGTTTGTGACGGGGATGGGGCTTGAGGGTTTCGCTGTGAAGGAGAGGGTCCAGCAGGCGATCTGGAAGGACCGGGAGATGGATTCAAAGCGATTAGGACCTAACATCCGCCCTCCGTGATGCTGAAATTTCAATAATAATAGTTTTGAGAAACAATATACGAGCATTCCAGTCTCGGACAAGAATTCGAGATCCGGCTTGAACCAGATTTAACGGATCGGATCGGAATTGGGAGAGAAAATATCGCGATAGCTCTCACCTTCATTGGATTTCTTATCGTTAAATGTTTATTTTTTCTCTTGTATTGCATTCTATCTCGAAGGTCGCTCACCTTGAGCGACCAGCGGCCGGAAACTGCTGTTGATAAGACGGGTTCCATGGGAACGGTTGCGGCGACGGCGACGGCGACGCAGCAGGCGAGGAAGAGACGAACCCCCCTCCGAGACCTGCCGCGACGTGCGCCGCGCGCGCGGCCTGCGCCGCGATCGACGACGCTGTTCCCGCCTGTGACGGTGACGGCGACGGGGATGGCGAGTCGCGTGCAGTCGCCGGGCTGGGACGGCGCCCTGGCGTGCCGTACTTTTTGCACCCAGAAAACATCGGCCCTAACGGAGGGAAACCCTAGGCAAAAATTCAGGGAAAAACCCAAGACGGAGAGACTCTGAGAGACGCGTGAGTCGGCAGTATCAGGCAGTGAAAAAGCGGGAGTGAAGGAGCGCGCGCCGATCGCGATGCCTGCGGCGATCGCGGCCTGGACTGGCGCGCCGAACAAGAAGAATAGGGTTACTCAAAAGCGGATTTGGACCAGAGATCGCTAGATCGGGGAAGATTACGGCAAAGGCGGCGGAGCGAGGAACCTTTTGAAGAGAGGGTCTCTATCAGGTCTGGAGTCCCGACTCCCGAGTCCTCGTGGACACGCACATCACCAGATGCACTGGTGATGACGAATAGCCATGGCTTGAGGGACTGATCAAGCTGCTGCGATCTGACCAGAAAACCAGAACTCGGATTTGCGCCTGTGACTGAGGAGACTGGGCAAAGGTGGCTGATTTAATTCGGTCAGAATAGATTCTAGGTTTATTTGGTTTGGTTTGGTTCGGTTGCGCTTGCCGTGGAGGCGTCAGGGGGGGAGGGGGGGAAATGGGAAATTTGTGACTTGTTGTCAGAAACGAACAAATCTCGAGGTTGGGAGGGATGAAGGATTCTGAAACGACACAGGGGTGGGTTACGAAATGGTTACCAGAAAAAAGTTGGATCGCCTTACGAACCAACGCAAACATTTTTTTTCCTGGTTCACAGAACAAACAGTTTTCCAGCGTAGGCTGTCTGGCCATTTTGCTTTCCCGTCCCAGCTCGCTTCGTCCTTCCCCCAGGTGTTTCACTCTCCACACTATGTTCTTACCGCGCGCGGTAGCACGTCCGTCGGGTTCGTCCGCCAAATCCCGCGCGACGCTCGCACAGCGGCACTCGCGCCCTCCGCCTCCAGATGCTTCCGCCATCAGCGGAGAGGTTGTGCGCAGGAGCGGAGACTTCGCGCGTGCCATATCTGCAGCGGTTGGCGGAAAAGCGCGGGATGCGGAGAGAAGCGGAGTCGAAAGCATCGGCGGTGATCATTCAGGAGCGAAAGAGGAAGGAAAAGAGAACCAGTTACGAGAGGAGAAGAAAGAAAGAGGGTGGAGAGAGGAACCACGGACGGAGGGAAGAGAGGAATTGAGAGGCGAGAAGGGGGTAGAGGCGGAAAGGAGAACGGGCGTGGAAGGGGAGAAGGAAGATGCGGAGAAGGCGGAGAAGGACGAGCGGGGAGCGAAGGTGGAGAAGGAAACAGTTGTACAGGAAGGGACAGACGGGAAAGAGGAAGAGGAAGAGGAGGAAACAATAGTCAAGGAAGGGACGGACGGAAAAGAGGAAGGGAAAGAGGAGGAAAAAGAGGAGGAAGGAGAAGAGAGTGAGGAGGAGGAAGAGGAGGTGAAGGAGAGGAGCGTGCAGCAGCGAGCAGCAGAGCCGGGGGAGCCGGTGTGCGCGGTGTGTGGGAGATACGGCGAGTATGTGTGCGATGCAACGAACCTGGACGTGTGCAGCCGCGAGTGCAAGGCAGCGTGCGTTGCGGGGGACGTGCCACGTGTCAGAGGGAGGGAGGCGCAGGGAGGGGGAGAAGGGAGGGTGGGGGGAGGAGGAGAGAGGTGCGGGAATGTGGGAAGGGTCGGAGAGGGGGGAATTGAAGACGAGGAGGAAGAGGAGGATGATCAAGAGGAAGAGGAAGAGGAAGAGGAGGAATGGGAGGACGAAGAAGAGGAGTATTCAACCTTAGACATGAGCAACGGCGTTGAGACGTGTCTTGATGTGATACAGAGCAGCATGTTTGCAGAAACAGCAGCAATAGCAGCAGATATCCGTGCACGGGAGGGCATCACCGTGCATGGAGCACCCCCCATTCCGCCTCCTATCCTCGACTTCCCTTCACTGGCACAGCTTGGAATGAATGCAGTCAACACAGTCAACCCAGTCAACGCAGTCAACCCAGTCAACCCAGTCAACGCAGTCAACGCAGTCAACGCAGCCATGGAAATAATCCTGAGCAACCTGCAGCAGCGCATGGGAGTGCACACGCCCACGCCCATCCAGATGCAGGCCATCTCAGCCATCCTCTCCCGCAGAGACACCCTCCTCTCCTCCCCCACCGGCTCTGGCAAGTCCCTCGCCTTCCTCCTGCCTCTGCTCGCCCTCGCCCTCCTCCCTCTCCCACACATGACCAATCCACATCTCACACCCACGACCCTCGGCTCCTCTCCTGCTCCACAAGATGTGCGGTGTGTGAAGCGGAGACGGAGGCGTGGTGGGAGGAGGATGGGAGGCGTGGTGGCAGTGGTGCTGGTGCCGTCGAGAGAGCTAGCAGTGCAGCATCACAAGAGCATCAAGAACCTGTTAAGGGGGAGTGCAGCAGAGACTAGGTGTGCGGAAAAGGTTAACAGTGAGTTGAGAATGCGGGATGGCCGCACGCTGGGAGGAAGCGCAGCAGGCACTGTGCAGTCAGGTGTGGTTCGGTCTGATGCGGTTCGGACAGGTGCTGTGCGGTCAGTGCTGCTGGTTGGGGGCGAGTCCACAGAAGTGCAGATGGGGCGGCTGTGGCGGGGAGTGGCAGAGGAACGGAGTGAGGGAATAAAATTGGACGGGGGTGAGGGAGCGGGGTTGCTGGGCGCTGGGGGGAGGAAGAGGAGGAGAGGGGAAGTATGGGAAGGAGTGTGGGGTGGGGAGAGTCAAGGGGTAAAGAGAGGGGAGAGAGGGAGTGAAGCAGGAGAAGAGGGGAAACGAGAGGTTGGAGTGGGAAGTGGTAGTGGGCGCGGAGGAGGGGAGCGGGGTTGTGCGGTGGTGGTGGTGGCAACGCCAGGCAGGTTGATAGAGCTGTTCAAACACATGAAGAAGGGGCTTCGAGAGGGAGACCCTGCCGCTTCTGCTTCTGCTCCTGCTAGTGGTGGTGCTGCCGGTGCTTCTTCTGGTGATGGGGCGTCTGCTGCTGCTGCTACTGGTTCTGCTGGTGGCATCACGGAGGGAGCGGAGAGCAGTAGACAGGGCGAGGCTGCAGTGGCAGGGAGAGGGAAGGTGGTCGTTGGATGGCGGGCGTTGTGTCGCGCGCTGAGACTCGTGGTGGTGGATGAAGTGGATGCCATGGTGCAGGTCGGTGGTGTGTGGTTGGATGGGATGGGATGGGATGGGATGGGATGGGATGGGGCGTCAGTCTTTTGCAGAGTCTTTTTCAAGCCGTCTCACTGTGCTCAGCCCCTATTTTCTCTTTTATTCCTCTCTTCTTAGTCCGAACCCAAACCCCTACCTCCCTCGTTTCCCCTCTCCCCCTTCTCCCCCCTGCCCACTTCCTCTCTTCCAACGCCACAGCATGGGTTTGCCCAGCAGTTGCAGCACATTCTCTCGCAACTAGCATCAGCCACAAACCCAGAATCTCCTTGCAAAGCGAAGCCGCATCAGCATCACCATGCCACCACCACCGCCACCCGCACTAGCACCAGCAGCACTCCAAGCAGCAGCAGCAGGCGTCGTTCCTGGCAGCTGGTGCTGGCTTCGGCGTCTGTGTCCCCGGCAGTGCAGGACATGAGTGCATCGCTCATGCACTCCCCCATCACCATCTCATGCGCACACACGCCCATGGACAACAATGGGCTCACACTCACATCCAGCCATGTCAAGCAGGTAAACCAGTCAATCCCCCTGCCCTTCACTTCGCCGTTCCTTCCCCCGGCGCATGCTTTTTCTCCAACTTTTCTTGCCTCAAGATCATCATCCAAACCACATTCAGTCTCTTGTGCAAGCTCTGTTCCAGTTCTTCTGTTCTGGCTTCTCTCCGAGGTGCCTGATCTTACTTTCTGCATTCCACACTCTGGTGCTTGCAGGTTGTGCTTAGAGTGGATGAGAAGCACAATTGGAAGTTTGTACAATACTCAATTAGCATTGCTCGTTTTCTTTCCTGTATTTCCCTCCATCCGCTCTTGCAGGTTGTGATCTGGGTGGAGGAGAAACACAAGAAGACAAAACTCTGCGACATACTGTGCCACCCGCGGCACTTCCGCCCACCCGTCCTTGTCTTCGTCTCTTCCCGAGACGGAGCGGACCTTCTCTCCTCCACCATCCACCAACTCACCGGCCTCGAAGCAGCTTCCGTGCACAGCGGCAAGCCCGCCCCGGACCGTCGTAACATCATCGCGCGATTAATCACGGGGGAGATTCCTGTTGTGGTGTCTACGGTGGGAGTGCTTGGCAGGGGGGTTCACATTCCCAAGGTGTCGCAGGTTGTTGTGTTTGATATGCCGGGGAGCATGGAGGATTATGTTCATCTGATTGGCCGAGCAGGGAATGTGGGAGCACCGGGCATAGCCATGGCCTTCGTTAATAAAATTTCACGGCCGTTGCTGCCAGATCTTGTGGGGTTTCTGAAATCCACGGCGAATCCAATTCCGCGTGAACTTGCAGTGTTAGCCCCAAGGTGATCTGTAGATCTATGTATATATAATGTGTGTTTTCCTATTATACTAGTATCAGATGCGAAGCACGGGTGCACGAGTATCCCTGTAAAGAAACACTGGTCTCAGCAGCAATTTCGGGATTTGAATTTCAAATGTGCAAACGTCAGTCGGGTTGACGGTGGCGAGGCAACCTGGTTGACGGTTTCTGTTATCTGTGCCGCAACTAAGATCGCGTTCACAGCAAGTTAGCTCAAGCGAAGTAGGCTCAAGAGGCCCAAAAGTGCAGATATTTGGGTCCAGCGTGGCAGTTTTGCCACTGACCACACCCACTCCCCGTGTCATGCGAATGTGGATACACACATAGACGAGTTTGAGCGAATTTTCAAACCCAATGAGATGCATGTAACCCCGTCGACTTCAAGATCGTTCATGAGAAGCTTTCGTGAAGCAACCCCAAACACGTGTTACACAAATATCTGTGCACTGTTGTTGAGCGCGGTTCGCTTTGAGCTAACTTGCTGTGAACGCCATCTAACGTGCTCAGCGCACACATATATTACCCCACCAGACATGAAGCACAAGGGAGAAGCCACCACATGACTGAATTCATGCCAGCCGTTCCTTCGTCATTTCGTCCTCGCGCGTCCCCCGTTCTCGCTCTCGCTAACTCCCTTGCTCTGCTTCCCTCGCTACCGCTACCCTTACTACCGTCTCCGAGATTCAATTCGCTAGTCCTCTTTGCTCAATACCCCTCTAGCACCTGCGCCGCCGGCGTCGCAAAATTCGCGAAGTTTGCAAACCCCGCGAAATCCGCGAAGTCCGCGGAGTCCATTCGCAAGAAGAGTAACCACGTCATCATGGTGCCTAACCCCGCGTCATTGGCAGTCGCAACCGCCGCCGCTCATATAAACCCAGACGCCAGCTTGTCAGAAACGGTAACGAAAACGGGTCTTAACTCCGTCTCCTCCTCCTCCTCCCCGCCCTTCTGGAGCATCGACAAGCGCGCCAAGCAGTTCACGCTCGCCGTGGTGTGCCATGATCGGAAGGTCCTTCTGGGTCGCAAGCAGAGAGGGTGAGCCCAGGCCAGGCCTCACTGGCCTCACTGGCAGCATATCTGATAGCTCTGCGCACTTGTACTACTTTCGGGACGCATGAAAACGTCTCACATGAAGGCGGCTTCGATCGTATTGCGTTTCTGTTCTGTTTTGTCCTCTTGCATCTCCATGCTTGAAGCGGCGTGACCGTGCCTTTTCCTGGCAGGTTCGGCAAGGGTCTCTGGATGTTCTTCGGCGGGAAAGTCGAGCCGGGCGAAGCAACGGAGCACGCCGCTGCACGCGAGGTAGAGTGCCACGTGCCACGTGGCACCTATCATGTGCCACGTGTCATAACCTCATGCCATATGCCACGTGTCACGTGACGTCTCCTCCATCCCCTCACTACGACCCAACCCCTCCACCTCCTTTCTCACGACTCCATCCCCCTGTCCGCTCACTGCGCCACCCCTTCCCCCGCCTCAGCTGCAAGAGGAGGCGGGTCTAGTGGCGGAGGGGCTTGAGAAGCGCGCCGAGCTGCTGTTTCACCTGGACGGGCAGCCCAAGCCGTGGCAGGTGAGTGCTGCGTTTAGAATGTGCAGCTTGAAGTGCACCGCCTCTCAATTCTTTTCCTTCCCTCACAGTATCGTCCATTCTTGCTGCGACAGGTGCATGTGGAATTCAGTTGAAAATTTCACCAAGGAAGCTCTGAGACGCCTTGAACCTCATTCCCACTTTTTTTTTACCGTTATTCTTTCTTATTTGTTTTTTTTGCTTTTTTTCTTCTTCTTGTAACAGGTGCACGTGTATATAGTGGAGAGATTCACAGGGGAAGTGTGTGCCAGTGACGAGATGATTCCGCAGTGGTTTTCTGCCTCCGACATTCCCTATGGTGCGCCTTCTGTTGACCCTTGCCCCATTCGTCACCTCATGCCTTACCACAGTCAATGATTTTTGAGTGGACAAAAAAGTTTCTCGCCTCCGACATTTCCTATGGTGCACCCTTGCGTTGACGTTGATGCCATGCATTACCACATCCAATCCCTCATGCCTCCCTCCATGCCTTACCACATGCTATCCCACATGCCTTGCTTTATGCAATCTCACATGCCTTGCTTCAGGCAATCCCGCATGCCTTACCACATGCAACCCCATCTGCCTTACCACATCGAATCCCATATGCCTTACCACATGCCATCCCCGATGCATGACCACATATGAATTGTGTTTTCCATTAAACTGCACCCTCATGATTCGCTCGTCACATGGCATGCAGGGGAGATGTTTCCTGATGACATCATATGGGTGCCATGCTTCCTCAAAGGTATGATACAGGGAATAAACCATTCCACACACCACCACTCCATATTGCACCCCACCCTACTCACCCCACCACACCACACCACACCACACCACACCACACCACACCTTACCACACTGCACCACAGTACATGTTATGGCATGGCATACGCCCTCCTAGTACATGTCCTCCCCTCTCTTTGCATGGGGTTGTCCTCGTCCCTTGTCAAATCTTGTCCTTAGCCAGTGTCTTTGTCCCCTGTCCCTTGTCCCTTGTCCTTCGTCCATTCCCAGGTGAAAGCCTGAAAGCTGAGTTTGTGTCCAGCGCAGATGGCATGGTGATGCGGCAACATCAATTAACAATCCAGTCCTAGTGCAGTAGCTGTCAGCAGGTAAACGTAGATTATGTACAGTTGATTAGATAAACACCTGATTTATTTATGTGCATGTGTAATCAAATCCAATTTATGTTGTTGATGCTCTGAACAAGGCCAGGCTCTAAGAGTTTGATGGATGCCAGTTTGTGGTGTCATGAAAGAATATTACAGTACGTAAGGTGAGCTGACCTGTAGGGTTTAGGGTTTAGGGTTTAGGGTTGTCAATAATGAGCTGAAACGCGTGAAAATGACATTTTACACCAACACAACAGGTGGCACGTGATACGAAATCTCTTGATGGTATAAGATTGTCAGAAATTCCTACAGTGCCCACCAACAATAGCCCGCAAAATGATCTCCACAAGCAACAGCACTGCAATGCAACATCACCCACGCCCAGCACAAGCCAGAGCCAAGGGAGCAGCAGGGCCTTCTCTTTCCTTCACCCAGGCCCCGCATTTGCTGATACCAGCACACGGAGTTGGCGTTTCACTGGATGCTCTCTCCTCTCCACCAACCTTCCATATCTCTCTCATACAGCAGCATCCGACTAAACTCAGAAATCACCACCACCCTTCATTCACCCTCTTCCTCCCCTTCCCCCCCTCCCCCCTCCTCCACGGCCCCCACCGCGTCCCCTCCCCCCAAAGCCCCGACCGCCCCTGCCTCCCCCTCCCCCTCTCGACTCCCCTCGTCCCCCCCTTCCCCGTCCTCCACCTCCCCGTCCTCCCCCTCCCCCTCCCCTTCCTCCCCATCCGCCCCCTCCTCCCCCTCTTCCTCCCCCGCCTTCCCCCCCATCACTATCAAACCTAGGTCGCTTAGCCATATGCCCAGGAGAAGAGCCAAAAGACGCTCCTCCCCTCCCGCCTTCTCCTCCCCTTCCACCTCCCCTTCCTCCTCTCCCGCCTCCTCTCCCTCCGCCCCTCCCGTCCCAATCACCCCCTCTTCCTCCCCTTCCCCCTCCTTCCCTTCCACCTCCCCGCCCCCTCCCCCCACCACCCCCACCACGGCCTCTACCCTCCCCTCCTCGCCCCTTCCCCCTCCCCCTCGCCCCCTTCCCTCGCTTCGCACCACCCGCACCAAATCCCATAGCATCCAAATCCTCATCCTCCACCTCCTCCCCATCCATATCCCCCTCCTCCTCCTCATCCTCCTCCTCCTCCTCCTCCTCCTCGTCATCACTAAAGCCCTCTCCAAAGTCATCTCCCATCTCCCCGTCCTCATCCTCCTCCCCTCCCCCCATCTCATCCTCACTCTCACTCTCTGAAAGCTCCAAGTCCTTCACCACATCCTCATCCATCCCATCCTCGTCGAAAGCAGCCCCGTTAGCAGCACCCTTGCCCGCCTTCCCTGCCTTACCCTCCTTGCCCTTCTCAGCCCCTCCAGCAGCAGTTTCTCGAGCGCGCTTCTTACACGCCTTGGCACGCTCCTGCTCCTCCTCCTCCTCCCCTTCCTCCGCTCCCTCTTCTCCCTCCTCGCCCTCACTCCCGTCCCCATCCCCACCCTCCTCGTCACTCCCAAAGTCATCATCATCCCCATCACCATCCTCATCCTCGTCGTCACTGTCAGCAGCGCGCTTTCCCTTCTTGCCTGAATCATCATCCTCATCCTTAAACACCAGCCTGCACACATGCGCACACAGCAACGCCATACATGCCACGCCACAAAAGCGGATGGATGAGCAGCCGCCCCGGATGAGCCGCTTCAAGAGGGGGAAGTGGCAAGAGGCGTCTCAACAAGCCAAAGCGGAAGACAAGGAACCGACCGACCGACCAACTCTGCGAGTTTTTTTTTCCGGGGTTTAATTTTCTATCTTACTGCAAGAGGAACGCAACGTCTAAACAGCTCAAATGCCCGGACAAGGAACGTACTCTGCGGGTTCTAGCTTCTGTCGCTTGGTCTCCACCTGTCGCTGCATCTCACTGGCATACCGCACCAGAGCGTTGTTTCCCTTGGCCCTCTCCTCCTGACAAGCACAGACACACAGCAACAGCAGAAGCACACACACACACACACACACACACACACACACACACACACACACACACACACATACACACACACACACACGCACACGCACACGCACGCGCACGCGCACGCGCACACGCACACGCACACACACACACACACACACACAAACACGCACGCACACGCACACGCACACATGCACACCCACACCCACACACACACACACACACACACACACACACACACACACACACAGGTTTCAGGGATGGTCCCACAGGAATACGACAACGGGAAGGAAGGAGGAACGAAGAAACAGAGGGGAGAGGGGGAGGGGAAGGGGGGTGGGAAGGGACTGTGGGTTAAGGGGAAAGGGGGTGAGGGTGTTGGTTGCATGGCAATGGCAGTGTGAGTGGTACCTGGAGAAACGAGGCAGCCTGGGCGATGTCTCTCGGGCCGTACGACACTTTGTCCCTTGCCCTCTCCACCAGCTCTGCATTGCGCTCGATCTGTTGACGGAAAGGACAGAAAAAAGAGTAGAGATGCAGTTAGGCGAGGCGTGATGGGAAATAGGCGGCGCGGCCTGGGTGGGTGATGTCTCTCGGGCCGTATGACACCTTGTCTCTCGCCCTCTCCACTAGCTCTACATTGTGCTCGATCTGATAACAGGGGTAGGGAAAGTTGGTGAAGGATATCGATGCAAAAGATTCTCCAAACCACAGCGGCCGCTTCCCTCCCTCCCCTCTCCTCTGCACCTTCCCACCCATCCCCCCACACCCCCGCCCTCATTTCCTTCCATCACCTTAGCTGCTTCTTTCCTTGGAAACCCAAAGAGCACACACGTGTTAGCAAACCATCCTCACCTGGTCAATCAACCCCTTGATCTGCCTCCTAAAGCGGTCCACACGGCAGTGCTTGTGGAAGGAGCGCAGGTGGGTGAGCGGCAGCAGCAGCAGCTCGGGGAAGGCGATGGAGAGGCTCCACTGCGAGGCGAAGAGCGCCAGCTGCAGCACCACCTCCTCCACCACCGCCTCCTGAAATGTTTTCGAGCGGACAACTTGCTTGGGAACCTGGGGTGGCGCGTGAGAGCGTGTGTGTGGTGTGAGGAAGGGGTGAAAAAGCGGTGAGGAAGGAAGCGCCAGCTGCAGCACCACCTCCTCCACCACCGCCTCCTGAAATGTTTTCGAGCGGACAACTTGCTTGGGAACCTGGGGTGGCGCGTGAGAGCGTGTGTGTGGTGTGAGGAAGGGGTGAAAAAGCGGTGAGGAAGGAAGCGCCAGCTGCAGCACCACCTCCTCCACCACCGCCTCCTGAAAGGTCTTCGATCGCACTACTGGCGGTGGTGGTGAGGAAGCGGTGGTGAAAGGGGTGAAAAAGCGGTGAGGAAGGAAGCACCAGCACTACTTGCTTGAGGACTTGGAAGAGAGGGTGGAGAAGGGAGAGGGGAGAAGCGAGGGGGGGAGGGATGAAGGGAGCAAGTGAGAGAGCAGGTGAGAGGGCAAGACGAGAGAGCTTGTGCAAGAGCAAGTGCGTGGGGCAGTGAGTGAAGGAGAGCGTAGGTTGATGCTCAAGGGAGCCACTTTGGGGCGCCTCAAAAGGGAGGGAGAGCAAGTGTGTTAGGCAGCGAGTAAGCGAGGGGGTGAGTGAGGTGGTTTGTGCGGTACCTTGAGCGAGGTGGCGAGGTTGATGCTCTGCACGTTGGCTCCCGAGGGAGCGTGGTGCAGCTCCTTGATCTGTAGCACGTCCACCAGCACTGGCGCCACTGGCACGTAGTGACCTGGTGGGTGGAGGAGCGGGGGAGGATGAGGGCCAGGTGCAACTAGCAGCACTAGTGCTGCAGAGCAGATTCCTTGTTTAAAAGCAGCACGACAACCAGCCTTACCAGTGGCAGAAGACAGCAGGGAGAGCATGCGCGTGCACTGGAAGCGGAGAGGCAAGTAGCGAGCAGTGGGCACAAGGCGAGCGACCCCGGCTATGATATGCGCGAGTGGATACACGAGCGCCAGCAGCCTTACCTACCCGTAGCATTAGAGAAAGCGGGCCTTACCAGTAGCAGAAGAGAGCAGGGAGAGCATGCGCGTGCACTGGAAACGCAGCGGGAGGTAGCGAGCAGTGGGCACAAGGCGAGCGACCCCTGCAATGATCTGCGCGAGTGGATACACCAGCGCCAGCAGCGGGGAGCGACTGCCGTGTGACGCTGCGTCTAGAGGAGTGGCTGCTGCTGCCACTGCCACGGATGAGGTGGAGGCGGAGGAGGAAGGGGAGGGGGAGTGGTGCGGGTGCTGGTGCGCTGCTGCTTGCACGCAGAGCACGCGCGTCCAGAGGTGCAGGCAGTTGATGTACTGCCAGCAATAGACCTTGAGATACGCGTCCTGGGAGAGGGGGAGGATGAGAGAAGAGGCGGGTGACAGGGGGGAACGGGAAGGAAGACTTTGAGGTGCAGGCAGTTGATGTACTGCCAGCAGTAGACCTTCAGGTATGCGTTCTGGGAGGGAGAGAGGAAGGGAGGAAGGGGGAGTGGGGGGAGGCGGGAGGGGGGAGGATGGGAAGAGGGGAGAGCAGGGAGTGTTGTGGGAAGGGGGGGTGAGTTGGGACGCATGGACGGCACAACCAGATCATATCGAACCACGTCACACCACGCACCTTGGTCTTCATGCTGAGGGCCCCTCTGAGCAGCAGAGCCAGCTGCCGGATCGACACAAACGCGTGTGGGTACACAGCAGCAGGGTCCGTGAGCGCCAGCTCCGCCACTCCCGCGCACAGAAACGCAATCCGGGGCAGCGAGGACGGCGACACAAACTTGCACTGCGCCGCAAACTCCCGGTACGCCTGCCTCACGATCGCCTCGACCCAATCCGACGGCAGAAACAGCGCAATCTCCCGGAGGACCACGAGCGCAGCGAGAGGCAGAGACCCCTCCCCGGACCCCCAGTGGTGAATCGCAATTCTCACGAGCTTCTTCCCGATGATTGGAAAGCTTGCGAGGAGCGGCACGGACGGTTTCAGGCAGCGCAGAGCGAAGGTGAGCAGGCGAGAATCAGCCATAGTGGAGAGGAGATGGACAGCCGTGGAGAGGTAGTTTCGGACGATCTGGCTGACTTTAGACCAGCGGGGACTGGACTCCCACGGCTTTTCCATGGAGTCTACTCCCGCGCTACCTCGCCCCCACGCGTCGGCTTCGTTGCCCCTCCTCGCCTGCTTCCGCAGGAAGGATCGCAGCTTCTTCTTCCCCAGCCTCCCTGCAAATTTGTTGTCACCACCGCTGCCATCCCCCCCATTCTCCTCCCCATCTCCTTCGCCCTGCCCGCCTTTCTTCTTCTGCCGGCCCTTGCCCTCGGATATGTCGCTGAGCAGGATCCGGACGATCCTGTCCGTCTCTTTGAACGCGAAGAGAATCACACGGTTGAAAACATTCGCGCTCGCCAGCCGGTACTGCGGCTTGCGCTCTCTCTGCTTCATCTTCCCTTCCGCCGTAAACCCAAACCCCTCCTCGCCCTCGTCCCCCTCCTCGTCCTCCTCCTCATCTCCCCCCTTCTTCTTCTTCCCCCCGCCTCCTCCGCTCCCGCCCTTTCCCCCGCTGGATCTCCGCACGACCCCAGTGAAGCTCTCAGCGTCGTGGCACGCCGAGTGGAACGCCTGCATCAGCTTCTTCATCGCGCCCTGCGATCCGCCGTCCATCGCCGCCTCGATCCAACGGTCCACCATCTCCGTCGTCAGCACCGGCAGCAAACCCGCCTTGCCCTTCTTCCCTTTTCCTGCCCCTCCACCTCCTTCCTTCTCCTCACCATCCTCATCATCCTCCTCCTCCTCGTCCTCCTCCTCCTCCTTCTTCCCCCTCGCCTCCTCCTGCTGCTGCTGCTTTTGCTGAGCCCTTTTTGCCCTCTGCATCTTCCTTGAACTCCAGGAGAGATTTGTCTGTTTCCACTAGGAACTCGTAGAACGCAGGGTCCTGATAGAGAGACAGACAGACAGAGACGGAGACGGGGACGAAGACAGAGACGGAGACAGAGACGGAGACAGAGACGGAGACAGAGACGGAGACAGAGACAGAGACAGAGACGGAGACGGGGACGGGGACGAAGGAAGAGTTGCAGAACAGAAAACACTTTGGCACTCCTACTCACAGACTCGAAATTGCGTGTAATGGAGAAGGAACAGCAGGCGACGCAATAGGAACTGCTCCTGGCTTCTGCTACATCAGCAACAGCCTAACAAATACCCTGCTAAAACCCGAAACCCTTTCACACAGAAACTCCCAAACATTTTATCTTCCCCAACTGAAAGCCCCCGCAAAATTATACAGGCCAAACCCATTGTCCACGATCCATGTCATTCCCAATCGCCTCAAATAGTCCAGAAAATCCTCAACAATCCTCAGAATCTACTTCTTAACCCAAAAAATTCCGAATTAAGTGTTCTTAAACCCTTTCCCCTGACCACTTAGTAGACCCCCACACCAACGCTCACCTTCTTCTTGAGAGCCTCCAGCTGCTGCTGGTGGCTCTTCCGCTTCTTCGCCGCCTTCCCCTTCTCTTTCTCCCCCCCTTCCTTCGCTTTCCCTCCCTCTTTCTCCCCCGCCTCCGCCCCCTCCGCCCCCTCGGCTCCCTCCGCCGCTTCCTCCTCCTCTTCCTCCTCGTCGTCCTCGTCTTCATCGTCCTCTGCCATGCCAATTCGCGCGAGGGAGATCTCCTCAAACCCCTCCTCTCCTTCCAACGCCTCCTCATCCACCTCCGCATCTTCACCTACCCCTGCATCATCATCTTCTTCATCCTCCTCCTCCTCCTCCTCCTCCTCGTCCCCCTTGGCTTTCTTGGCACGCTTCGATCCTCCTCCCTTTCCTACCTCCTCCTCCTCCTCGTCTTCCTCCTCATCCTCCTCCTCTTCCTCCTCCTCCTCTTCCTCCTCCTCCTCATCCTCCTCCTCATCCTCCTCCTCCTCCTCCTCCTCCTCCTCCACTTCGTCCTCCTCCACGCCGTCCCCCCCTTCGCCGTCACCAGCTAGGTCCTCGAAGTCATCCATGCCCAGCAGCTCATCCACGCCTAGGTCTTCCAGTCGCCTGGCGGATCGAATGCGGGCCAAAAGGATGCGAAAAAGGTAACGAACTGTGCGATTGTTGCCAGCCGGTACGAGATACGGCGAATAAAACTTGTCCCACAAGGGAAGGGAGGAGGGAGAGAGGGGATGAACGGGGACGGCGGGACGGCTCAGGGGACGGGAAAGGGGCAAATGACGGAAAAAGCGGACGGAAAGGAAAAGGGTGGAAGGCAGTGGAAGGGAACCAGAACGTAACCTGGATGGTGGCACCATCACCCACCTTAAACCCCGATTGAACTCCGCGATGCCATACCCGCACTAACGAAAGCCCTTTCAGGCAATTTAAATTTAGCAATTGTGGTAAGGAATTCGCAACCCACTTCTTTTCCTTTGTCGGTTGCTGCAGCGGAAGCTTGGCAATCCCGAGCGCTTCAGCTGTTTGGGGGTTAAGGGAGGACAACGAAGCGTGCATGACGTGGTAACACATGTGAAGCACCATTAAATGACGAAATGCTAACAAGACAAGAATGTGAAATCGTGACCTTACGAACAGGATGCGGGGATACGATCTCTAGACCCATAGATCGGAACTCCGAACTCCTGCTTGGGAATGAGATGAGAACGAAAGGCGAGAACGCGACGAGACGTACGGACCTTTTTGAATCTCGACTTCATCCTCGGGATTACTGGAGCCGCCGCCAGTGCGCTTGGTCCGCTGCTGCTTGATGACCTTATAGCGACGGCGCTTCTCGATCTCCTTGGCGAGATGCTTGCGCGCAAACTTTTTTGTCCGCTTCTGCTTCTTCGCCATGGCAAAGAAGACTCAAAGAGGAAAAGTCTAACGGCCTAGAGGAATGGCCGTGGGTGGATGGGGATGGTAACTAACAACTGACGTTATTGCAAGCAAGGGCTTTGGGTTGGGAATATGATCAGTTACAAGTATGGTTGCTGCGGGGGCGTGATGCTGAGGCGAAGCGTTGGTTTCCCAAGGGCTTGGGAAGAGACGCTGAAGATGGCGTTTAACGCGGACATGATATAGCTTGTCTCTCATACTTTGCTTCTTGGATATAGCGATATTTTTCACAACACCTCGATTTTAGCAAGGACTTCATAATTTGACTTGACCTGTGTTCCTATGTGGTCCACACTGGAATGTGATTCAATTGAGCCCGTCCGAAGTGAGGCTGTTGTCGGTCGCCATTAGGTTACCCAGCCCTAAAAAAAAAAAAACTGAGCTGACGTGTAGCACTTCCTGCCTGTCGTTCCACCGCGATCAATCGCAAGCTGGATGCCATCCGTCCATCAATCCATCCATCGATCGCACAGCTCGCGATTTCCGACTGAACCAGTGCGCTCCGAATTCGTGAACCCACCGCTATCGAACGGTGGTGATGCAGCCATTGCATCTCTGGCTGGACGCAATCGGCGGAATCAATCGACGGCGTAGAGTGGATGACCATGCAAAAATTCCTTTCGCCCAAGCCTATTCCATTCCACCGACAGCCGGCGAGCATGGAATCGAGAAACGGGTTCTTACTTACCTAAAAGTCTCACGGTTTTCTATGAACAGTAACATGTCGCTTTCTTCTTTTGCGCCACTTCACCCACACAGCACGCCTCTGCAAAAAAACACTGCCCAGCAGCGAGCTTCTGCACAGCCCATACCCCCACCTTCATTTTGAGGAAACCGAGATCCCCTCACCCAGAGAATCCCTAGCCCGATGCACAAGGTTGCCGCACCTTTTTGTTCAGTGTTGCTGCTGCTTGGAAGGCCATTTGAGTGTGACGTCTGGAGAGGCCTATTCCAGGCTGAAAGCAGGCCGAGGCTGTCACTTGTCTTCAGTCAGGCACGTCACGTAAGGGGTTACGCGCCACAATTAGGACCTTACGGGTATTGTAGAGCGTTAAAAATAAGGCGCGCCTCTTAGTCTAGAACGCCCTCTTAGGGCGTGACCCTTGCTGGCTTGAAACGTTCAGCAGCACCCTCCGGCTATTAACCGTTAGACCGGGTTTTCTTCCTCGCCTTCCTCCCAGCTCTTATTGCCTCCTCCTGTTTAACAATTTCCGTGTGTTGCCACCGGAGACCACCTTGAAACGCGAGCTTATTCACAGCCCCTCCTTGTTTCAAGGCCCCTCGCTGTCACCGAGCGGGGTTCTTTTTTGGCCCCGAAACGACTCTGTCGCTCTTATTCCTGGTCCACTTAAATTTTCTGGACGTAGCTCGTGAAGAGCTTCCGTTGGACACGATGCTCTCTCATTAATTTCCTTTCCGCACTGGTTTTCTAAAGCTACTTCTCCAGTACCGTTATCTTCGGCGCTTCAGAGCTCCGCTCCGCGTGAGCTACTCTCGCCAGTCAGTCCACATCGCGCGCTCCGAGAGGACACGTGGCGATGGGCGCGCACGTGTCGCGACACGTTGACGAGCGGCTCGACGACCTGGAGGTGTATCAGCGCGCAGTGGCCGCCACGTTCTCGGAGCGATCCAAGCCGCCATCCGACGGCGTCGACGCGGCGCCGGGCATTCAACAAGCGCAGCTTCTAGACGCGTGCAAGGCGGTGCTTCAGGTGTGTTGGTGGATGGGTGCAAGTGCGAGGGTGAGCGTGAGGGTTTGTGTGAGCGTGAGTGTGGGTGTAAATCCCCTTCAATCGTTTTTCCTGTTCCAATAACACCACCTTCCGCCGCCCCTCCCCACCCTCCCTCTCTTCCACCTACCCTCCCCTGCGTATCTCTCTATCGCACCTCTCGCCGTCCCCATCCTCCCCCCAATTCTGCTCCTTCTTTCATCCCTCTCCCCTCCGCAACCCTTTCCTCTTCGTCTCCCTCCCGCTATATCCCCCCCTCCTCCCCCTTTTTCCCCATTCTCAGCGAATATCGGCGGAACTGGATCCGCGCGCCGGCCGCGTCTGCCTGCGCGTGCCCACCCCGCGCGACCTGGACTTCGCGCTTTCCCGCCACCCCGCTCTCGCGCAGCTGCCCATGCTCTCCTTCGCGGAGTTCGAGCGCGTCACGCGCTGCGTCTTAAAGCGCGTCGCCGCGGATCGCGGGCGCCGCCTACTTCTATTCGTCACAGGCGGAGTAATAGCGGTGCAAATGGCTAAGGGCACTATCCGTAAGGTTCCGCTCGTGGGGGGATTGGTAGCGGCGCTAGTAAGCATTGTTTTTCCGACGTCCGTAGTAGGTCCGGCGCTTGGGGTGGCCGGGGCTTTATATGTGGAGCAGCCGCGACAGCTGCTGCACTGAGGGAAGGAGAGGGCCGGGGAAAGGGGGAAGAGAAGAGGAGGGGATGGGGAAGGAAGGGAGGGAAGAGGAGGAAAGGCGGAGGAGGGGTAGGAGAGTGACCAATTAAAGGTGGACAGCTGCCCATATCTCCCTCCTTCCATTCTCCCTTTCTGAAAATTTTCCACATTCCAGTCCCTCTGTGACTGTTTTGCCCTCTCCTGATCTCACGCACCTCCTCCAATCTACGGTTCTGCTCAGTCGTACGATACGACCACTGCTAATTTCATCAGACTGCTGATCTGTGAGTAGATTCGGGCTCAAACGGCACCTTGCATCCCCCGCTCCACCCCACCGGGTCAACCATCTTCACTCTTAGCTTACCGGTATCCAAGTTGGATAATCCAACCTGCTTTTCCAGCCCAGAGCTCACGTTCTGCTCTGCCTCTCACTCTCGCCCTTCCATCCTCAACTTGCAATTATTGCATTGCCGCGCGGTGATTCAGGATACCAACTTGCCGTGCTCACTGCCTCACCTCTTGTGGACAGTGTGCGGTGCTGCTGGGTTTAATTTGGGAATATTAGAGGAACTTATTACATGTAGTGCTGTATTATGTGTAGATCATTCAACAGCCTAGCCACGCTACTTAGGCTGTGCTCTTTAGCAGTCATTGGTAGAAGAATTATACTAATGAGATGCACTCAGGTTTTCTTCCATTGCAAATGTCATCGCATGGTTTGTTCAAACGACCAGAGGAAGTGCCTTGTAACGGGTGTTTCTTCGCAACGTTCCCTAGGTTGGCAACACTACCATGTGGGATTGGTCGTCAGCTTCACTGACAGCCAGCTACGAACTAATTTCTAGGTTTAGAAGTTAATTAGTGGACTGGTTGCCTGCTTGCCAGTTGGGTCCACTCACATACCCCAAACAGGCAATAAGCGGCTAACGTAAACTCACTTATCATACTTCGCCACTAGCAGCACCCGCACCGTCGCCGGTTTCAAGCTTCACATAGGTCATCGTTGTGGCTCCGCTCCCTATGGCCTTATTGCCAGAATCTGTTCAACTTGACCACCAATCGACTGACATGATAACTTCTCTCGCCAGTTGTAGTCTTCTGCTCTCCTCACGTCATCTTTAATTAGGTCTTTTTTTTTCATAACGTATACTTTTAACGGCATCCCAGGCAGCGCCACCGTCGCAGGCAGCGTCACCGTCGCAGGCACCATCATCGTCGCAGGAAGCATCATCGTCGCAGGCAATATCATCGTCGCAGGCAATATCATCGTCGCAGGGAATATCATCGTCGCAGGAAGCAACACCGTCGCTTGCACATCGTGGGCCGTCAGATCGTCAACTTCCACCGCCAGATCTTCCCCCATCATGCACATCCAACCGTCCACGTTTCTCCGCTCTCGCTCCACCACCACTGGCCTCATGTCTTCTCCTTTCCTACCGCTCTCATCATCATCATCATCATCATCATCATCGCTACCGTCTCTCAGTCACGTCCTATCCTCCGCACACAGCAAGATCGAGCATCATGCGCTTCCGCGCCGCGCACCCCTCCCCACGGTCTCCGCGCGCGGGCGTTTCCGCCGGTCTTCTCGCCGGACGGAACCCGTTAGAAGCACCCAACCGCACCAGCAGCAGCACCAGCAGCACCACCAGCAGCAGCAGCAGCAGCAGCATCAAGAGCGGGGAACGCGGGAAGGCGTGTATGTTGACGTGGTAGTTAGCAGCCAGTCATCTGCGAGGCACGGCTCGGTTCGGCTGAGCGAGACGCGGAAAGGCGTGGCACGCGCGCCGGCATCCGCTGGGATTGCATCGGACGGACGACAGGCCCAGACAAGCAGGGGGGGGCAGAGATTGACGGCTGAGCAAGCTGCAGCGCCTGTGAGTGACCCTGCTCTGCACAACTGCTTCTCCAGTGTTTGAAGTTTTCCCGTGTTAGCGTCTTACCTTCCGAAGGCTATCCTTACCTCCTCGAAATTTCCCATTTTTGAATAAAGTCCGCCCTGTATGAATCTCAACCAATCTTTCAATCCTCCGCTTCTGTCCCGGTTCCCCCATCCGGTCCTATCTTACCGCAAGCAGTCCGTCTCAAGCCATCGAGTGGGCTTGAGGGCCTCAGTTTCCCCATGGGCACTGGCAGCAGGGGGAGGCTCGCTGCTGCTCTTACTAGCTGCTGCTGCAGCGGCCTATGTGCAGCGGCTGAGGGGAGGAGGGAGGGAGAGGAGCGTGGACTTTCTTGCGAGAAGAGGATTCGTCTCTTCAGATAGAAGCGAGCCGTACGTGATTTCATTGTCATCGCTAATTCCGTATATCTTTCTAGCTTGTCTGCAGTTCCTGGCTTGCACACCTACCCCACCCCCCATTTACACGGTTTAATGGCTCCGAGCCGTTTCTAATGCTTCCCAACCCTTACCCAATCCTCCCAATCCTACTCAACTGGTCCCATCCCAGGCTGAACGTGATATCGCAGTATGACGACCCCACATCGGTGCTCAACTATCGTGTGGGCAACACGATGCTGGTTCAAATGGAGCCACTGCCGCCACTCACTGCTGAGAAGATGGAATTTCATAGGCAGCAGCGGCAGAAGGAGCATGGATGGAAAAAGCCACAGGTGCGGAAGACTTCTCCCCTTTTTTCTCTGGTCTGTCGTAATTCCCCCCCGTCCCCTCACCCTCCCTCTTGCTCCTTTTCTCAAAAGGCATTTATGTGGTGCATCAGTAAATCTTTTTCGTGTGGCGCCTTAAGAAAGAACACACGACCTCGCTTCCCCCCCTACCCGGCCTGCAGGTGGTGCTGGTGGAGGGAGATCCTGTGCCAGAGGGCATCGATCTCATGACATCCCATGACAGTGCGCTTCATACCCTGAAGTCACTTGCGTGGCTCTCTAGGAATCACCTCACCGCTTTCCCCACTACCCGGCCTGCAGGTGGTGCTGGTGGAGGGAGATCCTGTGCCAGGTGGGATCGATCCCATGACAGTGCGCTTCATACCCAGAAGACACCCCTTTGCACTCAACCAGGTACACTTCTTCTTGCACCACGTCCCTCTCCTGCTGCTGCCATGCTGCACTTGTTCCTTTTGGGGTGGGCTCGCAGAGCACCGCCTCGCTCGCACTCCTCGCTCCGCCTTGCTCCTCCCCGCCTTCCTCCCCACTTTTGGCCACCCTCCCTCCCTTTCGTCTTTGCACCCTCCCTCCCATTCCTTTGTTTAGCTTGCTTCCTCTCCTCCTTGTCCTTATGTTGTGCTCTCCTTCTCTCTTCGCACTCTCCTTCTCTTCGCACCCTCTTCTTATAACTCTCCCCAGGATGAGAGTGAGGAGATTCTGTCGGAGGACGTGGCACGGCGGCGGCTGAATCAGAGGAGGGGGCGGCCGGAGAAGGAGCAGGAGAGGAGCCGCAGGCAGCTGCAGCAGCTGCGGCAGGAGGTGGAAGGCAGGGAGAGAATAGCAGAGGAGAGAGGTGCTGCGGGGGATAATGTTGGGGGAGGCGGCTTGGGCATGCAGGTGAGGGTGGGACGGGGGAAGCAGGGAGCGTGGGGCGTATGTGAGTGCTGGAAGGGGAAGGGTGCGGGAGGAGGCTGGGAGTGAGGGAAGGGGGGGAATTGGGAGAGGGGTGGGCTGGAAAGGGAATGGATTCAAACTTTTGTGCGTGCGCAGGTGCGCTCGTGTGTGAGTGTGAGTGCACATATGGGAGGGAGATGTCAAGGGAGGCAAGGCAGCGGCTTGTCTCTTCTCTGTCGCTTGTATTCTGTCAAAGGCAGATAAAATCTCTCTCCACTCCATCCAGCCCATCCCGTCCCAATTCTATTTCCCTCCCATCCTGCCCCGTCCCATCCCACTCAATTCCCACCCGTTTCCTCCCATCAGCAACCAAGAACGTCACCTCATCCTGGTAACTTTCAGTTCTCCAGAGCGCACACAGACAACGGTAATGCACTGTGACGTGATGCTACCCACCAGCACTTTTCTGCCTGGAAGCCCGCTGGTGTTCCATTGACTGCTGCAGGCAGCAGCAGCAGCAGCAGCAGCAGGAGTCATAGCATCACTCACCCGCTCCCTCACTAGGTCGTCGTGTAACAACTCACTCGCTTGCTCGCTCACCCGCTGGCTACCTCTCTCTTCGATTTTCTCACTCACTCACACTATCTTACACCTAATTGTAGGCATCATGTCCTGCCCGGTTCCGCTCAGCCCAGCTCCAGCTTCCTGCCAAGGCCTGGACTCACGGTACCTACTTTGGCTGTTGTTACGTACCAGTAGCTGGCTTGTTCTCTTGTGGCATAGTCTGGTGTTGGTGCTGGTTCGGCTTGAGAAGGTTTAGGTTCATTGTTACCGTAGGTACGGTAGGTAGAGAAAGTGCAGTAGAAAGTGTAGTAGAAATCTATAGTGTTGCCCGTGTATGTATAATCATTGTCCATGTCAACGGCGTGGTGCGATGCGCCAGACCATTTATGCGTGCATATGATTGACGTCATGATCTGTTGGGTACAGCTTGTGGTCTGTACAACAAATTTACCTCTTTCGCTGGGATACAATCCTATTACATACCGTAGCACCACTACTTTGCTTCATGTACAAGAGCCTACTAATTGCAAAACAAGTTACTTAGTCGTCTAATGTCCACGCCATAACCTACCTAACTACACCTCTGGTTGGTGCGACACGTCAATCATCCCCCCCTCCATCATACCCCCCTCTCCCTCGCCCTCTCCTTGAAAATACTCCGCGTACACGTCAGCAAGCTGCCGTGCCACGTCATCCATGCTCGGCCGGGCGGCAGCAGGGGCGGCGACGCATGCAGAAGCGATTTCCCCAAGGGTTTGGAAGGCGGGGGTGAGATCTGGGGAGAAAACCCGGGGGTCGATGATTAGGTGTACCTCCCCCTCTGCTATGTAGTGCACCGCCTGTAGTGGGGAGGTGGGGGAGGGGTGGAGGGGGGATGGGATAGGACGATATGGATGAGCGGGATGGGAGGTGTGTGCACATCCCCCTCCGTTCTGTTGTGCACTGCCAGTTTAGGGAGGGGAGGGGAGGCCCGAGGGATGTTATGCGGTGGGGCAGAGGCGATTTCACCGAGGGTTTGGAAGGCGGGGGTGAGATCTGGGGAGAAAACCTGGGGGTCGATGATTAGGTGTACCTCCCCCTCTGCTATGTAGTGCACCGCCTGTGGTGGGGAGGTGTGTTGGGCGGGGGGGAGAGGGAGGGGTGGGGAGGGAAGATGTGTCGTGCGCTTCACTCCAAACACTCATGCGCAGGTCGAAATTTGAGACGTCCCAAATCTCACATGTTGATAATTAGGGCAAAGAAAGGTGGTGAAGGAACGAGGGCAAAGATAGGTACTGGAGGAACGAGGGCAAAAAAAGGTTCTGACCCAGTCTGTGATGACCATCATCTCCGAGGGGTTCTCTGGGTCTGGCACTACTGCCAGCCGCCCTGTCAGCAGCTCCAGCAGAATCACTCCGAAGCTGAGGGGTGGGCGTGCAAGTGGGGGAACGTAGAGGAAAGGACATGGGGAAAGGAGGGGAGGGAGGCGAGAGAGATAGCTTCTCAGAAAGTCCACAACTCACACATTGTGTGCAAAATCAGAAGAAACGATAAGAAGCAACGGTGAGGGCCTGTGTGGGCAGGTGCATGCAGGTCAGCAATGGCAGGATCACAGTACCCTTCCTGTGCATCTTTCCAAACCCACTCACACGTTGTGCGCTCCCTGCCAGTCCCCACCTGTACACATCGGTGTGTTGTGGTGTGAGGGCCTGTGTGGGCAGGTGCAGGTCAGCAATGGCAGGGTCACGGTACCCCTCCTGCTGCACTGCCTCTGGTACCGCGTTGATGCGGCCCTCCCCATCGTGATGCACGAAACAAAAGTCACCGATTTGCGGCTGGTGGGGCGGTGAGGGGCAGGGGAGGGGGAACAGAAGGGGATTTAGATTCAAAAATAAGGAAGAGGGGTAGGGGAGTGAGAGGGTGAGTGGGGGTGTAAGCAGAAAGGAAGCTGAGGACGGATGGGGAAGATATGCTGAGGGGAGATGGGGGGGAGGAGGGGCGGAGGAAAGGGGGAGGCAGGAGGGAGTAAAGAGTTCGGAAAGAGGGAGAAAAGGAAAAGCTGCAGCAAGGCTAACAGTAAGGCGCCTAGAAAAATTACAGATTCCAACCCAAGGTACCTGCAGCGAGGGCGTGAGCATGATGTTGGAGGGCTTGAGGTTGCGGTGGATGAGTGGCGGGTGCTGCTGGTGCATGAAGGCTAGTCCCTCCGCCACGCCCACTGCTATGCGCAAGCGCTGCTCCATTGACATGGGTGAATCTGCATGTGTGTGACAGAGAGACAAGTGGACAACCAGATAGACAGACAGACAGACACACACACACAGAGTTCTGAGTCGACTCGAAAAGGCTAGACCCTCCGCCACTCCCACTGCTATGCGCAGCCGCTGCTCCATTGACATGGGTGAATCTGCATGTGTGTGACAGACAGACAGGCAGACAGAGAGGCAAGCATGCAGGTGTGCGTACACAGGTGCGAGTGGCGTGCAGGCAAGCAGGCAGACACACATGCACACATGTCAATTGAACGCACACAGGCAGGCAAGCAAAAGGAGGGAGGGATACAGATGGTAAGGAGGCGAGGTGGGTCCGATGGGCTGATGCGAGTGGAAGGAAAGCGAGCAGGGAGGATGCAGGCATACCACAAGCTAGCAACAACAGCAGGACAGCAATCTCACCGCAGGGAGCATGCAGGTTGTCTCGTAGCGACCCATGCGGCAGCATCTGATACACCACCATGTGCTCATGGCCCTCACAGCAGTACCCCACCACCGGCACCAAGTGCACATGCCCATGCCGTGCATACGCCTCCACCTCCTCCTCAAAACTCCTCCCCCTATCCCCCACCCTCCAGCTAAACCGCCCATACCGCTTCACAGCCCACTCCGCCCCTCCCCTTCCACCTCCCCCTCCTCCCCCTCCCCCGCCCTTCTCCCCCATTCCTCTCCCCCGCGCCAGCCCCCCTGCCGAACCTCTCCCGTCGTCGAGCCTCCGGGCGCCAGGCTCGGCAACGAGGCGGGGGTCGGCTCGGAATACCGAACCATAGGCGCCGCCATGACCGTCCTTGTGTAGGCGCCGGCGCAGGTCAAAGCGGTGTGTGGCGCGCTTGATTTCTTCTAGCCGGAAGCGGCGGCAGAACGGGGAGGAGGGGAGGTGTGCTCGGGAGGAGGAGGAGGCGGAGGAGGAGGTGGAGGAGGAGGAGGGGAAGGCGGGGAAGATGGAGGAGGAGGAGGTGGTGGGAGTGGAGATGAGTTCGTCGTATGCCATGATTCTTCTAGATGCTCCTGGGGATGGTGCAAGGGGTGAGGGGGAAGGGGTGAGGAGGAAGGGGTGAAGGGGAAGAGGAGCAGGTTGCGGGGTGTGGGGTGTTGAGAAATCTCTCCCTTTAACGACCTGGAGTGGAGATTAGCTCGTCGTATGCCATGATTCTTCTAGATGCTCCTGGGGATGGTGCAAGGGGTGAGGGGGAAGGGGCGCGGGTTGTGAGGTGTGGGGTGTTGAGGGTGGGGAGTGAAGGGAGAGGGATGGCAAGGAGGAGAAAGGGAAGAGAGTTGGAGTGGTGTTGAGTTCATCGTATGCCATGATTCAGGGTGCTCCTGGGGTGGGGGTGGTGCCGGGGGGGAAGGCACGGGGAGGGCAAAGGGAGAGGGGTTGCTTTTGAGAAATCCAAAAAACGACCTGCAGAACAAGTGGAGATGAGTTCGTGAAGTTTGTTGTATGACATTATTCGGAATGCTCCTGGGGATTCCGTATGGTATGGTCGAGAGGGGAGGGCACGGGGAGTGGCGTTTAAGGAGGGGCAGAGGAGAGCAAGGGGAAGTAGGTTGGTGTGAAGATGGTGTGGGGATGAGCTTGCTGTATGCCAAGATTCAGGATACTTATGGGATGGTGGGTGAGAGGGGAGAGGGCTTGAGCAGCAGGGTGCTCTGCCTATAAGGAGTAAGTAGAGCACGAAGGTGTGCTCTGCTTATAAGCGAGACGGGCTGTAGCGTGTACCTAATGGGTGGCGCCTGAAGTGAGAAAAGGCAGCCAGCACAGCAACGAGGGCAGCGACTGAGGAGACCACGATGATGGCAATGAGGAGCGGGGAGAGAGAGGAGGAGGAGGACGAGGAGGAGGAGGAGTCTGGGGTCCATGGGACGGACGCTGCTGCTGTGTCGAACACTGGTGGGGATCCCAGCTCTGCAGGGGAGAGGGGTTGTGAGAGAGTGGGAGGGAGTGAGGGGGACTGATGGTGTTGGATTGTGTCAGGTGCGTAGGAACATGCGTGTGTGTGTGTGTGTGTGTGTGTGTGTGTGTGTGTGTCTGTGTGTGTGTGTGTGTGTGTGTGTGTGTGTGCGCGTGCGGTTGCACAACCATGTGTGCACACGCAAGCACACATACATGCAACTGTGACTACGCGAGCGACAGAGAGAGCGTGAGAGAATACCAGCAGCAAGCAGCAGCAGCAAACAGCAGCAGCAAGCAGCAGCAGCAAGCAGCAGCAAAGCAAGCAGCGCCGCACCTCTGAAAGACCATTTGGTAATAACATACTCAACACCCCGCCCGCTCCCACTGAACCCCACAAACACAGGCTCCTCATCCACCTCCTCCCCCACCCTCGCACCACTCCCACTCCTGCCCCCCCTCCCTCCACCGCCCCAGCGATCGTACCCCCCCAGGGCGTCACATAGGTCTAGCTGCACAGTGAGTATGCGGGAGTGCTGCACCTGCCGGCCCTGCCGCCGCTCCCACGCTCTCTGTTGCTCTGCTTCAAAGGCCAGCGGGCACTGGTGGGCAGTGGCTCGGGGGCGGGTGAAGCTTACGGAGAGAGTGTGGGAGGACGCACAGTGCTCCACCCACACATTGTGCGATGCCCCGTCCACAAGCTTACTACTACCACCAGCAGCACTGGCAGAAGCAGAAGCAGCGGCTGGGTTTGCGGGTGGAGGAGGCAGGACGGAGGCAGCATTGGCTGCTAGAAGGGACTTTAACTTGCTGCCTACACGCACGCCTACGTACTCTCTCGGGGGCACTTTGAGTGGCGAGCCTGCTGCTGCTGCCGCCTCCTCGGGATTATCCTGCCAGCTGGCGAAGGAGACGACTACCCCGTGCTGACACGCTGCCATCGCTGTGTATGCCCCGTTGCTGTCCAACCACCCACTACTGCTGCTGTTGCTGTTGCCGCCGCCGTTGGTGCTGCTGGCGGTGGTTGTGGTCTCTGCCTCTGCATCCCCACCTTCCCCTGCCAGAAACTCCCCATCAGGCACAGCAGGAGCGCACGCGTGACCAAACCCTAACGCAGGCCCTCCCCCCCCTGCTGTAGGCTGCCCCGTTATAACAAACGCGAATCCCCCTATAAGCGCGTGAAACCCTCCCCCCCCTGGCCCTGCCACTCTCCCTGCTCCTCCCCGTCCCCCCACTCCCCCTAGCGCCCCTCCCCCGCCCGCGACTTTCCCCGCGGCCTTCTCAAGCCCTTCCGCGGGCCCCGCGCCCCCCGCCCCCCCCGCGTCCCCCCCCTCGTCCGCGGACGCGCGAAAGGGCGCGCGCGTGGCGGAGAAGGTGAAGGCGGTGAGGAACGAGCGCGAGGCGCAGAGGCCCGCGGACGGGTCTTTGAGGATAAGCTGCTGGGGCGCGGGGAAGAACGCTGCGCCCGTGGTGACGAGATGCGGGGAACGCGCGAGCGGAGGGGGAAGCGCGACGTTGGGGGAAGCTTTGGGCACGTCGGGCGCCGCGCCAGGCGCGGGGACGATGGGGGTGAGGGTGATGTTGGCGGAGTTGGCGGAGGCGAAGGCGGAGAGGAGCAGGGGCGGAGGGGCAGCGGGAGCGGGTGGCGGAAGGGCGAAGCGCATGATGCGCGGATGGCGGGGGTCTGTTTTCCCCAAAGTGGCGGACCATTGTGGGGTGTAAGGGGAGGTGAGGGGAGGGAGGGGTGGGGAGAGAGGGAGTGGGGAAGGACAGAGAGGGGAGGGGATATGAGAGGAGGGGGGATGGAGGGAGGGAACAGAGGGAAGACCCTAGCTATAGAGACATGGCCGCTTGATCTTGTTCATCCTCGCGCTTCGTGTTTTGTCCTGGCATGACGCACTAACCATCCTGAGCTGTGCGCTCCCTCGCCCCCCTCGCCCCCCCATGGGTCCCCAAACGACCTTCCCCACATTTAACCTCTTACTCGCTATTCTCGGGAGAGCAACGACCGAGACGCCGTCAATCACGGTGCTGTTATCCGCCATGGCCACGACGAATTTCACCACCGTCGTCGCGTTCTCCGCCACGTAATCCACGGAACCCATGCTCCATCCTCCCAGCACCGACGGCGCCGCTCCGCGCGCCACGGCCGCCGCCGGCAGCGCGAACCGCGCCCTCTCCCGCCCGAAGCGCACGCGCAGATTGACGGACCGCTGCCGGGCAGCCCGGGCAGCAAAGAAGAAAGTCAGTCGGTAGCGCGTGCCGCGGCGAGTAGGAACGCGCTGCGACACACCCCCCCAGCTGCACCCGCGTTTCCCGCTCGCCCCCTTGCCAGCATTCCTCGCGTCGCACCCCGCAATCTCGAGCGCGCACGCGCCGTGAAAGGGCGCGGTGGTTGCGGCGGCTTCCGCCGCCTCCGCGAGGGAGGCTGGCGGGGGAGCGGAAGCGGGGCAAATGTGGGCAACCCGTCCCCACGCGCGCCAATGCGGGGGTTGCGTGGGGAAGGTTGCGGCCTCGAAACTGGGGTTCCGGAGAAGATTGGCTGGCGGGGAAGGAGGGGGCGGAAGGAGCGGGGGAAGGAGAAGGCGGAAGGAGCGGGCGGATGGGAAGGGCGGAAGCAGGGGGTGAAGAGGCGGCGGAGTTGGGAAGGGACAAAGTGAGATTGGCGTGCAGGTAAGGGAACACATAAGCTGCGGCAAACCCGGAGATTCACGCAACGCTTCGAATGTAAGTTACTCAAGACGTACAGATCATATGCGCCATATGATACGCCATGATGCTTGCGTGGCTCGACTCGCCGCTCGCCGTGCTGTTCCCAGGCTCCGCACTTCTCGCCGTCCCACCGTAACCGACCGCATCGACACTCGCGGTGGGGCCGGTATTATCGCCGACAGCGGTGGTTCTAGCGAGAGCGACGCGAGGGAACGATGATGACAAGAGCGCTAGCAGATGTAGCAGTGCAAACCAGCCGCATGTGACAATTACGGGGATTCGCTCGGTGCGGTAGCTGCTGCAATGTCTTTGGAAACCATACTGCTCTCGCGTGATTCGCGTTGCGATGTTGTGGCCACGTGCCTCGATGCCGCTTGACTCGAAGCGTTGTTCGCAGCATGCCGACGTCGATGTGGCAGTTGTTGATTCGCTGCTGTGAGCATGCTGGGCGCTGGTGACGTGTTCTAAGGTACGGACGCTATGTATGCTACAGCTGCTACAGCACGCGGTTGAGGAACCAACCACTTCGCTGGCGAACCTACCGGAGTGAGTATGCGTGGCTTCAGCGTCTAACGCGTCTAACGGGGATGCTATTATCGCAGCGAATGTGGTGCTGGTACTCGCCATCACACGCGTCAGTCAATGAAGGATGCGAGAGGAGGTGCAGGCAGCTTAGCCTTGTTCGTCGGTTCGCAAGTAAGTGGTTTTGAAGATACGGAAGATATTGCGTTGGCTCAGTATGAAGTCTAGCGCAACGGAATAGCTATCTATGATACGTGGTGTAGTTTCTATGTGAACGGGTCTGCATCTTTCTGGTCGACTCGGAAGAAATTGGTGGACTTGGGTTGGTTTGAAGAGGAAGCAGAAGCTTTTGATGAGAGCGATTGAGGCGGGCCACCAAACACAAAGCAGCACAGCAGAGTGCGGATGGTGGATAGGTATGGATGGTTGAATACAACACGTGTGTGGGCGACGGAGATTGGCTTGAGATGGCTTGCAATGATTTCGCTAATCTCAGCGAACAGGGGCCATCCGAGTAACTTATGTTACAGCTCCGCCATGCCTGCCGCCACACAAACCTAGACGTTGCTGTGGTGGGTCCTCGGCAGCGCAGGTTCTCAAACTGAACTGGGTGGACGGACGGACGCCTTTGCTTCAGGAATAATTCCAACCATGCCCGCACTTGTTTTTCCGTCGGGTGACTGGCTGGCTAGGCACTAGGTTCGTAGAAAAACATTTGCCGCCGGTCACCCCTCTTCATTCAGGCGACAACCCCCTGAACCCCCACGAAGCTTGCCGGCGCGCTGCTGCGGGTCGGGTCGGATCAGGTGATTGGGCAGTGTGGTGGAGCTAGCTTGGCTGGACAGGCTGTTATCCAGGTTGCCTTTGGCGACTCCATGCCAGCAGCACCACCCCTGGCTCTGTACCCCCTAATGCCTGTTTAACTACACATTACATTGTGCCAACACTGATGAAAACCCACTGCCCCTACAAATTACGCTGGACTTATGTTTGTTAGCTAGCGACTGATAAATTTGCTTAGGAAGAAAAAAATCACTTGTACTGTACTGAATCTGATTACTTTGACATATGAACATCCAGGTAAGTATTATAATGTGTCCAGGTAAGCATTATGTGTCTGTTGCCTAATGCGTCATGTAGAACGGGCCATGAATGGTCATACATGGCTATTTTAGTCAACATCCAGGTAAGTATTATAAATAGCATTTTGTTTTGCTGAGTCCAGAGCATCAAGCATGATTCTGGTTTTTTTTCACTCACCGCTTTCAAATAGCACTGTTGAATTAGACCTCGCTACAATCGCCTTCGTGAAGGTTCGCTGGCCTCGTTCGGAGTCTCGAGGTACCTTATGAAACGAACCTAGGGAAACGCTTTTTTGCCATGGCGCTGACCGACGGAGGTCTGCATGGTGGAGAGAGAAGCATATCGGTGTGGCGCTCCCCCAAACTGGTGGAAAACGATTTTACCGGGCAGATTTGGCAGCACGCAATGAGATTTTCTCCAGCACTCGCCACAATGGTGGAGTGGCCATCACGCAATGCAGGGAACGTCTCCAATGCACGGGCAGTTCCAGAAGCGTGGCAAAGGAACGAAGCATGAAAGGTGAATGGTGGTTCACCACTGCCAGTGCCACCTGGAGATTTGGAAAATGTTCTAGCGGGAACCACACACCTCTTCCATCATCCAACCCTCCTCCCCCTTTATGGCTGACGACTGCAGAATCGTTCTCAACTCACCTTGAAGTTGTTGTGGTGCCTTCCTCGCACCCATACCGACCAACCCCATCACACATCTACTGTGGCCAAGGGTTTCTAGTATCCTCATAGATTTAATTTCAATCAGCTGTCTTAGTCTTCGCTTCTGTGGCTGCTTCCGTTGCCTATTGCAAGCATAATCTGCCTTTGCCTGCGTTTCTACCGGTAGCTCTGGTCGCCGGGTTTGTTAGCGTTGCTGTTTAGAAAGCTGTCGGCCCACCCATCCAAGGTGGAGACTTCCAAGTTCCAGTGTTTTTTTATGTCTGTTGACACCTTCGCTGTTCTCAGGTCGGCAGGCCTGCCCGCAGAGTATTTCTTTACGACAAGGAAACGGCATGCTGGTTCTCCTCCGAGAAAGAAGGAGCTGATTTCATACGCCTCTGTTTCGGTTGTTCCTGAAAAGCGTTACCAGCTTCGTGGTGGTTCCTTGCGGTGCTTGCTGCCTGCTTCTTAATCATCCGTTGAGTTTTTCAATCGTTACGTGAAACGTCATCATGGCTCTCGTCAACATCGGTCAGGACAACAAGGACGATGGCTTCTATCGATACAAGATGCCCAAGCTGATTACGAAGATCGAGGGACGTGGTAACGGCATCAAGACCAACGTTGTGAACATGGTCGATGTTGCCAAGGCTCTTGCACGTCCTCCTTCGTACACGACCAAGTACTTCGGTTGCGTGCTGGGAGCGCAGTCGAAGTTTGACGCGAAGACGGGCACTTCTACCGTGAACGGCGCGCACGACACCACGAAGCTGGTTCAGCTCCTAGAAGGTTTCATCAAGAAGTATGTTCAGTGTTACGGCTGCGGCAATCCGGAAACCGAGGTCATCATCACCAAAAATCAGATGATTACGCTCAAGTGTGCTGCGTGTGGCTTTGTCTCGGATGTCGACATGCGGGACAAGCTGACCACCTTCATCCTCAACAATCCTCCTGAGGTCAAGAAGAAGGCATCGAAGACCATGAGGCGTGCGGAGAAGGAGCGCCTGAAAGCTGGTGAAGCTCTTGATGAGGAGAAGAAGTCTAAGGGGAAGAAAGCCAAGGATGCAGAGAAGAGCTCCACAAAGAAGAGCTCTAAGAAGAAGGCCGAGGAGGAAGAGAAGGTGGAGTCTCCGGCTTCGAGCAACAAGGATGAGGAGGAAGATGATGATGACGACGTCGAGTGGCAGACTGACACTTCCGCTGAGGCAGCAAAGAAGCGTATTCAGGAGCAGCTGAGTGCGGTGACGGCTGAAATGGTGATGGTGTCTACCGATGAAAAGGAGGTGAAGAGTCCCCAGCAGAACGGCCACGCGAAGACGAATGGGAAGGTGGAGGAAAAGCCCCTGGATCCCCATCAGGTCCTGGTTTCTGAGCTCAGCGACTACATCAAGACGCACAAGCTGGCCGAGGTAGCCAACCATGTCCTGAAGATGACGGTTACGAAGGATCTTCTTGCTGCGCTGATCGAGGCCATGATGCACGGGATCTCCAAGGTCTTCACGAAGGAGTTCATGAAGAAGAAGGCTGTGTTCGCCGCCATCGTTAATGAGGACGAGGAGATGCAGAAGCTGCTTCTTTATGCTCTGGAGTTTTTCTTTGCTGTCAAGGCGGGAGATGCTGGCAAGGAAATCGCACTTGTTTTGAAGGTAAAATACATGTTTCCCACAGATTTGTATTGCACTGTGTGAATTCATTTGGGAGTTTCCTCATTGTCTGATGCTTCATTGCAGGCTCTGTACGATGAGGATATTTTGGAAGAAGACGTCATCCTGGAGTGGCACGAGAATGGTTCGAATGATCTGCTTGACAAGGAACAGGCAGCAAGCGTCCGTAAGCTGGCTGAGCCGTTCGTGAAGTGGCTGCAGGAGGCAGAGGCCGATGATGATGATGATGATGAGTAGATAGGCTGTGAGATGAAGTGGACTTAAATTGATAGCTTTTGTTGGTATATTTTCTTGGGTGTTCTTCAAGTTTGTTCTTGTGGTTTGGATTTGTTTAACAATGAAGGTAATCATTTGGTGAGCGAAGGATTTCCTGTCTCCTTTCATTTTGATGGGAAAAATGGGCTTACCGGGTATGTCTTCCTGTCCTGGATCCTAAAGAGTTAACATAGATGCCCATAAGATAAACGCCAACTTGACTTTGTATCAATCAGATGGGACTGAGCACATGCATGTCGTCTAACTCGCCCAACTTACCATGTAGAAGAAGAATTATCGGAAGAACGTTGAATATATATACACAGTGTGATCCTGTTTTTCTGACGCATTCATTCCATTTGTTTTAAAAACGTCCGGGAAGCAATGTGCTTCAGAACCGGTTAATAAGTCTGTTTTGTTCGTGTCAACAAAGCTATTAATGGATTTGGTGGGATGCATTAGTTCTGTGAATGCCTTCTCTAAAGGAGACAGCATACAACATGAGGCAACACTGTCGCCCATGGCAGCAGCATGCGCCTGAACTTTCGCCCGCCAGCATTGTTGCAAAGACCGCGAGAAGGGCGGAAAACAGGCGGAGCTAATCCGGTCTAGTCCCCCCCGCCCCGCCATCCCGCGGAACGGAGATTTGCAAGCGGCACATGGCGAGCGGCTATTGATTGGCGGTCCTCGCCTCAAGCCTACTTTGCGAAGGACCATTCGACGATTCGTCAGCCAACCCCCAAGTCCCTCCAGGTTCCGACGACCTTGCGCAACGCAACACAGAAATCTACAGTGTGTTTGGTACACACCGCTGTTGCTTGCGCAAAATTCTCGTTTCATCAGTTCGGTACAGTACGGGTGCTGCTGCCCCGCCTTCCATTCACCT